AGGGACACATTGAGTGGCTGCCACCCGCACAACCCAACCAGGGCCGGGGACAAACTGCAACCGAGGTACATGCCCTTGGCGGGAACCAAACCTGGGTCTCTCTGGACCGCAGGCCGACGCTCTAACCGCTGAGCCAAACCGGCCAGGGCTCATTGAGCATTTTTATGTCATCTTTTATTTTTCATTTTTTGGTACGTGCCCCTAGCGGGAACTGATTCCAAGACTCTCTGGTCCGCAGGCCAACGCTCCAACCGCTGAGCCAAACCCGCCAGGGCTCATTGAGCATTTTTATAAGCGGTGTTTTGAACTCAGCATCTGTTAGGTTGCTTGTCTCCATTTCGCTTAGTTCTTTTCCTGGGGTTTTGTTCTGTTCTTTCACTTGGGACCTGTTTCTTTGTCTCCTCATTTTGGCTGCCTCCCTGTGTTTGTTTCTATGTATTACTTAACGAGAGGTATGGGTCTAGCTGAGACCAGATGCTGCTTGTTTGAAATAATTTAGGAAAACCTGAAGTAGGATTCAAGACAGGCCAATCCTATGGTTAAGCAAGTGCCAACAGCTTGGGTGGGCCTGAAAGTTGAGTGGGACAGGGCCTCAGGGAATCACCAGGGCGGGGCTACCAGTATGAACCAGGTTGCTGGAGTCCCAGATGCTCACCAAAGGAACAAAGGCCTCTGACAGCACATCTGTCCTGGAGAAAGCCCCCTCTCCAGCCCTCGCTCCAATGCCAAACAGCTCAGTTCTTCCCTGTGTGTCTCTGGCGCCCCTCAAGCTGCTTCCCTTCCAAGCTCAGAGGGAGTGAGTCTGATAAGTCCGTGTGCGGGCCCTTTAAGAGGAGCTGCCTGGGGCTCCAGCCACCTTAGCCTCCCTGAGCCTCAGTTCCCAATGGTTTTCTAACCAGAAGTGATGGGGATTCTCTTCCTGGCACTGGAACCCTGAGTGGGGCCCCTTAGTCTTCAGGGAGGACCTTCCCAGCCTAGGTGTCCTGATTTTTATCTGCCACACATGGGTGTGGGACCAGCCCCTCTGCCCTCCTACCAGTCTCGTGTGGCTGCTGCTTTATTCCGTAGTCGTAGGACTTCCATCCAGCTCGGTGTCAGGCGGTTCTGAATGATGGTTGTTCTGTAGTTAGTTGTAACTTTGATGTGGTTGTGGGAGGACGGACACCGAGTTTACCTACCCACCATCTTGACCGGAAGTCCATTAAGTACTTTTCAAGGACAGAAGATGATATGCAGTGTGTTTGAGCATTTCATGCTTGAAGATCTGTGTCAATGGAGGGATTCCAAAGAAGGGTTTATTCGTCGGTTGTTATTCATTGGGCTTTGGAGGATATTATCTAGTGCAGGTTCTTTTCTTTCTGTTTATGCCTTTCTGTATTTTACATTTTCTGAACACACATCTAAGTTGTGTGGTTAGAAGCCATTCAGAAGTAAAAACTTTGCTTTTGAATATACAAAAAGTGAATAATTTGTATGTATGTATAATAGACATGAATGCCTGTTTTTAAGTCTTACTTGCCCTTAACATTGTCACGTATTTATTAGAGAACAATTCCACTAACACTTACTAGGCCCTATTATGTCCCAAGTACTGTTCTTAACAACATAATGAGCCCTGCCTTCACGGATCTTGCAGAGGTAGAGACAGACATTTAGCATGTTTAATGAGCAGAACACTATGTACAGTGTTTCTCTAAGGAGAAAATTAATGGAGGAAAAGGAGTAGGCTGAGGAGTGTGTGTGTGTCATACACACGTGATAATGTGTAAGGTCTGGGAAAGGCCTCTGAAAGGGTCACATCTGAGTAGAGACCTGAAAGACAGTTTTGTGGCAGAAGTGAAGCTGGAAGAGAAGAGCATCCCCCTGGGTTAGCTGGACTTTCTGGGAGCACAGAGACTCACTGTAGGCCCAGCGCTGTTGTCCTCTTCTGACCTTTTTAGGTGGTAAGAAGAGCAGGGCCTTGGATTCTGTCCCGTTGACTCCAGCTGCCTTCTCTCCACGTGGCCATGGCCCTGCCCTCACTGTTTGCCGTCCTTTCTGGTCTCCCTTGCCTGCAGTCCGAAGATTTTCCAGAAGACCAAGTGCAGCATCTGTAACAGTGCCTTGGAGTTGCCTTCAGTCCACTTTCTATGTGGACACTCCTTCCACCAGCACTGCTTTGAGAGTTACTCAGAAAGTGATGCTGACTGCCCCACCTGCCTCCCCGAAAACCGGAAGGTCATGGACATGATCAGGGCCCAGGAACAGAAACGAGACCTCCATGATCAGTTCCAGCACCAGGTGGGAGAGTGGGGTAGATGAGCACCCATTCACAGCGCTGGGAACACTGTGGGGCTTCTCTGTTCTCATTTGAGGAAATGAGCCTTCAGTTCTGATTCCTCCTCCTCTCTCTCCCTGTAGCTCAAGTGCTCCAATGACAGCTTCTCTGTGATCGCTGACTACTTCGGCCGAGGTGTTTTCAACAAACTGACTCTGCTGACCGACCCTCCCACGGCCAGGCTGACCGGAAGCCTGGAGTCCGGGCTGCAGCGGGACCTGCTTATGCACTCCAGGAGGGGCACTTAAGCAGTGCATGGAAGGGGTGTGCTAACGGAGGCACGGCAGCAGGAACACCGGAGGACAGAGGCAGGCAGACACGTCCAGGACTCCACTGTGATCTGACACCATGGCCTTCAGGACTAAAAAGCAAGAGGATTTTTTCCCTGCCTTCTCTTTGGCCAGTCCAGGGTTCCTCCTGTGGACTTTTTGAGCAGTGTAGATTATTCAAGACCAGTGGGGGAGGGCACCTCAACAACCTCTGAGTATAGACAGTAGCTGCTTTGTTTTCTACCCAAGAGCACCAGCCTGTGCTTGGGTCCTTGCTTCCAGAGTCTATAAATAAAATAATGATTTAATCCTGACCGGTGTGGCTCAGTTGGTTAGGCATCTTCCCGTGCACCAAAGGTTGCTGGTTTGACTCCCCATCAGAGCACCTGCCAGTGGGGTTGCAGGCTCATTCCCCGGTAGGGGGTATGTGGAGACAGCCAGTCACTTTCGCTCTGGTACTAATGTTTCTCTCTCCCTCTCTCTGTAAAAATCAATTTAAAAAATCTTTAAGAAAAGTTATTTCAGGGTTGATAAATTTACTCTGGGAACTGCTGGTGATTCCTAACTGTGTAGAATGTACTTCTCTCCCTTTCATTCCTAGAGCTCCTCACTCCCCTTCCAGAGCTCCTTAAAGATCATGTTGGTTTGACCTCATTCCACTAGTGGGTGGGGCGTGTGGCATCCAGGAGGGTTCAGTCCACTGAAGAACCTCTACAAAAGGTCTGATGCCTGAGCTCCAAGAGCATCTTGGACGAGGCCCCCAAACAGCTCCTGCTCTTCTGTCTGGCTGGTCTCTGTGGCTCTTTGGACAGAATGTTTAGGTAGGAGGCAGATTCTGAAAAGAGCTTAGGTCTTCTGCCTTCACAATGGGTAGGCTGGTGTCTTGCTGTATTCAGTATCAGGTTGATAAGCAGCATAAAAAGGCCTTCACTGAAACATGCTTCTCCTTTCAAGCTGTCAGCTGAATTTTAAGTTGCTGGTGTCTGCACGTAATTTGGGTTACATTGCCTGTCAAATTGCTCCTAAGGGCTTGTTTAATTAAAGGAAGCAACGTGGACACATGTGCTTTGGGTAGTATTTAGAAGAGGCAGAGTACACCACATTTGTAGTGGCCAAGACTTTGGGCCAGCTGAGTGCGAATCCTAGTTTTACTTCGAAATAATCCTCTTACCTTTTCTGAACCTTGGTTTCCTTCTCCGTATATTAGGGATAACATCTTTCTTTGCTGGCTATTATGAAGGACTACGACATGAGTGCGTGTCCCTCCTGTTCTCTGTATAATGATTAGTGCATGGGTTCTCAACACAGGTTCTTGGCATGTGAGTGGGTGAAGCACTTTTTTCTAACAAGCCCTTTTCCATGTTTGGTACTCCCACTTCAGTTACTGCTCTTTGGGCATGACCTATAATCTCTGAACCTCATTTTAAAAATAGAAATGTTGCCCAGCCAGTGTGGCTCAGTGGTTGAGCATCGACACATGCACCAAGACGTCGCCGGTTTGATTCCCAGTCAGGGCACATGCCCAGGTTATGGGCCCAATCCCTGGTGGGGGGCGTGCAGGAGGCGGCCAATCCCTGTTCTCTCTTGTGGATGTTTCCGTCTATCTCTTCCTCTTTTAAAATCAATAAAAAAACATTTTTTTAAATTAATAGAATAGAAATGTTGTCCCCCCGGTGTGGCTCAGTGGTTGAGCGTGGACCCCGCACCAAGAGGGCGCAGGTTCTATTCCTGGTCAGGGCACATGCCTGGGTTGTGGGCCGGATCCCCAGTGGGGGGCATGCAGGAGGCGGCCAATCCATGTTCTCTCTCGATGTTTCTCTCTCTCTCTCTCTCTCCTTCTCCCTTCCTCTCTGTAAAAATCAGTAAAAATCGTGCCCGAGCTGAGGGAACGGCGGTAAGTCTGGATGACTCGCTTTCTTACTTGTGGATGCTGAACCCGTAGGGGGCGTGGTAAGTGGCTCGAGGATCCTTTATTTACTTCCAACGCAGCGTTTTAGGGGTAGTATGGTCTTGTCCTCTGGGGCTCGCTGGCTTCACCGAGCGTCCTTTGGATGGTGGCGGGAGGGCCCGCAGCGGGGAGCCGCGGGGCTCCTGGGGCCGTTCCGGCCGCTGACCGGCCGCTGCTGGCTCAGGTGTAGGCGAGGGCAGAGACGAGCGGGCGGCGGCCTGGGCCTCACCGGAGGGCTGGGCCGCGGGAACCCGTCTCCGCAGGCCGCGCAGCAGGGGCGGGAACCGAAGGCTCAGGTCTCCTCTGTCGCAATCGTTCTTAATTCCCGCCCCGAGGGAGGCACCGCCCCTCCGGGGGCGGGCGCCGGTAGTGACATAGGCCGGGCCGGGGGCCGGCTGGCAGCAAGAGGACGCGGGCCCGTCGTGGCCCCGGTGCCCGCCGGCCGGCACGTCCGGCTCCGCGAACCCCGGCAGCCTGCGGCAGGCGCTGCTTCCCGAATGTCCGGCCACCGCGACGCGGCCGCTCCGGCGGTGAGTCCCCAACCTGTGACCCTCGGAACTTCGCTGTCCGTACTAGCCGTGCAGTGATTGGCTCCAGGTTGTCATCGTCTGTCGTCTACTGGTCAGAACCACTATCCGTCTTCCCGCTCCCGCCCCCGCCCGGAGAGCTTTTAAAGGGCCAGTAGCTCAGTTGCCCTTTGGCGTGGCGTGCACGAGTTTCAGGGTGCAGGGTGGTCTCGGACGGAGCCCCTTCTCGCGGGGTATGGGTGGGGTTCCTCCAGGGTGGGGGTTCCTGCACCCCCTGCTGTAGATTAGTCGGCCCACCCAGAAAAGACTGTCTAAATAGACGGGGCGCTGTGCCCCGGGATCATTTCACACGGGCCCAGGTGATATTCCGCCATCTTGGGGAGCTGTCCCACTTGCCACCCACAGAGGGGAGCGTACCCCAAGTCTCTGAACTGCACACAGCATCTTGGAAGTGTGCTCCCCTCCCCCTTTTTCCGGTTAGCCGGCGCCAGCCCGAGCCTGCGCTTGCACTGGGTTACTGCGGTGGGCAGGGGGCGCCCTTGGGTCCCCCTGCCCGGCCGGAGCCCTGTCCGTGTGCAGATGCAAACGGCAGAGCCCGAGATAAGAAAGATGCGCAGCTGCTTATCTCCCCCGCAGCCTGCGGCGAGGAGGGGGATTCCTTGCCCTGGGCCAGGAGCACAGAGACCTGGGTTCCCGTTCCAGCTCTCTGCCCGCTGCTACTGGTGCGACCCTGGACAAGTCACTCCATCCCTCGGAGCGAGCCTTGGCTTCCGTGACATTGTCCCAAGGGCGCCTGCTCGGTCTCCCTGATATGTGGTTATAAGATGAAAGGGAATAGGTCCAGGCCGGCTTGGCTCAGCGCTTGAGCACTGGCCTGTAGACGGCAGGGTCTCGGGTTCGAGTCCCCGTCAAGGGCATGTACCTGGGTTGCAGGTTTGATCACCGCCCAGTCCCGGCCTTCTGGGAGGCAACCAGTTGATGTGTCTCTCTCCCATCAGTGGTCTCTCTCTCCCCCACCCTTACACTCTATCAAAAAAAAAAAAAAAAAAAATCAATGGAGAAATATCTTCTGGGGAGGATTAACAACAACAAAAACAAATAGCTCTAGCACCCGAGGACATTTTTCCATTTATTTTCAGACAAAGTGGGAAGGAGGGAGGGAGAGGAAGAGATTGATTGAGAAATACCGATGTGACACTTTGATTGGTTTCCTCCCACACGACCCCGACCAGGACCAGAGACCCAATGGCACCTGAGGTACATGCCCTTGACTGGAATTGAACCCAGGACCCTTTGATCTGCGGGCCGATGCTCTAACCGCTGAGCAAGACCAGCCAGGGCAAAATAAATAAATAACTTTTTAATGGAACAATTGGACTTGAATACTGTGAGAATCAGTGAAATTAAGGGAGTGTTTGAACTTAGCAGCTTCTGGGACCTTAGATTCTTTTCTGTGGTCTCCCCGTGGCCCAGCATTTTAGTGGCCGTGGTTAGCATTCCAAGCTTAGACTCATTTGCTCAGGCCCCCCGGGGTTAATTTCTAGAGAAGTGACGGCAATGGAATACACTGGAGTCCAAGAGCAGCTAGCTGTCACCTCCTCCTCAGATGCCTGCCTGGCAAACGAGCTCGAAAAGGGGATAAAGATCCCAGGACGGGGGAAGTTGGACGTATCTACAGTGGCTACTGTCAGATCTAGAAAGAAACAGGACCTCAGACTGAAGAACCCAGTTCTGTGTGCTTGGCACTGAACACTTTTGTCCCGGAAGGAGGAAAAGTGTTTTGAGTTCTTGGTGTGGTTTTTGATGTCCCAGTATTTCCTTTTCGGTGAAACTAGAGGCAGCACTCTAGGTGAATGCCTCTTAGTCTTTATTTATTTCTCCAATTTTTATTAATTTATTTTTGTTAACAGATGTTTCTCCTTTCTTCCCCCTAGACACCCTCCTCCCCATCCTGTCCCCTCATCCCCCTAGCATTGTTTTTTTGTTTATTTGTTTGTTTTTATCCTCACCCAAGGACATTTTTGCATTCATTCTCAGATAGAGTGGGAGGGACAGAGGGAGGGAGAGAGAGAGAAACATCGACGTGAGAGAGACACATCGAGTGGCTGCCACCCACATGACCCCAACCTGAGCCGGGGACAAACTAAACTGCAACTGAGGTACGTGCCCTTAGCAGGAACTGAACCCAGGACTCTGGTCTGTGGGCTGATGCTCTGACTGCTGAGCCAAACTGGCCAGGGTATTTTTATTTTTTTTGCATTTATCTTCAGATAGAATGTGAGGGAGAGAGGGGGGAGAGAGAGAGAGAAACAACAATGTGAGGGGGTGGTGAGGGTGGGAGGGGAGAGATAAACCACAGAACTTATATGCATGTACGCATAACCAATGGACATGGACAACAAAGCCGGGGACGGGGTGGGGGAGATGGGGAGGAGGGTGCCAATGGGGTAAAAAAGGAGAAACATCTGTAACAAAAATAAACTTTTAAAAAAAACCAATGTGAGAGAGACACATCGACTGGTTGCCACCCACACAACCCGACTGGGTCTGGGAACAAACTGCAACTGAGGTACATGCTCTTAGCGGGAACTGAACCCAGGACTCTCTGGTCCGCAGGCCGACACTCTAACCGCTGAGCCAGACTGACCAGGGCTAGCATTGTTGTCTATGTCCATTTGTTATGCATACATTAGTCTTAATTTTTTTAATTTAAATAATTTATTATTATTTTTATATTAATTTATCTTTGTTACAAATGTTTCTCCTTTTCCCCTCTAATTTTATTTTTTAATCCTCACCCAAGGATATTTTTTCTATTTATCATCAGATAGAGTGGGAGGGATGGAGAAAGAGAAAAACATCGATGTGAGAGAGACACATTGACTGGTTGCCTCCTGCACAACCCAGGGCTGGGGATGAACTGCAACCGACGTACATGCCCTTGACTGGAATCGAACCCATGACTCATTGGTTCGAGGACCGATGCTCCAACCACTGAGCCAAAACACCCAGGGCTCTCCTCTTAGTCTTATAGAACATCAAAGGCAGAAGATACTTGGGTCCAAACCTCTTTATTCTATTTATTTATTTAAAAAAATTTTTTTTCTTTATTGATTTTAGAGAGAGAGGAAGGGAGGGGGGAAAGAGAGAGAGGGATGGAAATATCGATGAGCGAGAACATCGATTAGCCACCTCCTGCATGCCCCCCATTGGGGATTTGGCCCATAACCTGGGCATGTGCCCTGACTGGGAATCGAACCAGCGACCTCTTGGTGCAGGGTCGATGCTCAACCACTGAGCCAGACAGGCTGGGCCAAACCTCTTCATTTTATAGATGAAAAGTAAGTCCTGATGGTATGACATGCTCAAGGTCACCCAGCCAAGAGGCTGAGCAGGACTATACATCAGATCTGTTGACCCCAGTGTTTTATGTATCATTTCCACCAGATTAGGGGATTCATAGTGGCAGCTCTTGGGTCGATGTTCTCACTCATTGATATTTCCATCTCTCTCTTTCCCCCCTCCCTTCCTCTCTCTCTCAAATCAATAAAGAAAAAAAATTTGTTTAAATAAATAAATAGAATAAATAGAAAGCTTCCTTAAGTGCCCGCTCGGTTGTGGGTGCCGAACTTGTCCTCAGTGACTCAGCGTAAGCTCCCCTGTGTGGCCCCAGCTGCCCTGCCCCTGCGCACTGCAGGCCCCACCCTGTCTGTGACCAGGCTGATGGGCCTTATCTCCTCACCACCTGGCTGAGGGCAGCACTCCCCCTGCCTTGGCCAGGACGGGCTTAGGAGTTCAGTGCCCTGGTTACTGCAGCAATAGCAGACCCTCCTGTGGTTTCCCTCTGCTCGAGGAGGGCAGACGGTGCCAGACGGTGCCGGGAAATCAAAGGGGCCAGCCTTGGGATACTGCCCTACTCCGAGGCTCGGGTGGCCACCGGCCCGAGGCTGAGGCTCCTTTCTTCTGGACAAGTGATTCTGGTGCTTGGACAAGGGTTAGGAAGACAAGGGACAGACGGGACTGTGAGCCTGGGAATTGCTCTTGCAGGAAGAAGACAGCCCAAAGATGAGAGTGATTCGCGTGGGCACCCGCAAGAGCCAGGTGAGTGCGGGTCCTGGGTGGAGACGGCGGGAAGAGCTCTGCGCTCATGGTGTGACAAGTTGTGGGGCTCCTGAGGGTTAGTTCCCAGCAGCTCAGCGATGAAGGAAATGGGGTGGCTGGGTGTTACATTTTATGCAGAGTAACAGATTGCATTCGGTGGAGAAATAATCCCTGGGCTGGGGAAGTTGTTGTGGTGCAGAGGACTCCAGACCAGACCCCTCTCCTACCTAGTGGGCATTCAACCCCTCTCTGAATTCCTGCCCCTCAGGATCGTCCTGACCCTGTGAGTTATGAGCTCAGGGCAGTGGCCAGGGCAGGATAAGACTAATCCACATTTCTGCCCGCAGCTGGCTCGCATACAGACGGAGAGTGTGGTGGCAATGCTGAAAGCCCTAAACCCAGGCCTGCAGTTTGAAATCAGTGAGTTTTCTGGGCAGGAGTGAAAGCTCATGGGAAGCTTGTACCCCGCTCCAGCTGGAGGGAAAAGCACAGCGTTTCTGACTTTGCCTGGTCCCTTTGCTCTGTTTGGGGGGCCCTTTCCTGCTCTATCTGGGCTAGCCTGGCACTTACTGTTTTTCTGCTTTGGGTCTTTTTTTGAGGGTGTCTGGTCTTCCTGCTCAATCAGATGTTCCCAAGGGGTTGGGACCGGGGCTTCTGTGCCTGTGTGCACCTGGAATCTTCGCACAGTGCTGGGGTTCCTAGGGGCTCAATAAATGCTGATCAATGAGTAATTGACTCTCTCCTCAGTTGCTATGACTACCACAGGGGACAAGATCCTTGACACTGCACTCTCTAAGGTAACAACACCCCCCCCCCCCAGTCCATGTTCTCCTCCTTTTCCCTTCCCCGCAAGAGATTCATTCTCACGTTCTTTCTTGGGTGCAGATTGGGGAGAAGAGCCTGTTTACCAAGGAGCTGGAACATGCATTGAAGATGAATGTGTAAGTGAGAGACGGGAGCAGAGGCCTCCCAGCCTCTTGCTGGGACCCCGGTGTGCGTCAGACCTGAGCGCTCCAGTTAGGCTGCGGGGCTCAGACCCTTGGATAGGCTCCAGGGGGAGTCGTAGGTGTGCTTTTCAGGCACCAGAAGAGGAGAGTGTCCTGGTTCTGAGCCACTGGCTGCCCGGAGTGCGAGACTGATTGAGGGAGAAGGGAGGGGACGAGAGTGGGGAGACAGGGGCGTCTCAGGGTCCTGCTTCTGGAACTGCTGCTGGCTCTGCCATTGAAATGGAGGCAGGGGAAGAGGTGGAGGCCTGCTTCCCAGACCCCTTCTTGCCCCCTGTCCCATCTCTCTAGAGTGGACCTGGTTGTTCATTCCCTGAAGGACCTGCCCACTGTGCTTCCTCCGGGCCTCACCATTGGAGCCATTTGCAAGTAAGTGTCTTCTGAGTCTGGGTGTGAGCTGGTGGGGGGAGGTAGGCAGCATGCTAACCTTGGCTTTTCCCTTTGGGACTTGTCTCCCCTGCCCTGAGGAGTACTAAGTATGGCCGGAAAGCAGAACATGCCAGTTAGTTGGCTGTTAAGAGAGACTGGTAGTGACCTGACCTGAGATCTCTCCTTCTATGACCCTCCCTCCACTCGTAGACGAGAGAACCCCTGTGATGCTGTTGTCTTTCACTCAAAGTTTGTTGGGAAGACCCTAGAAACCTTGCCAGAGAGGAGGTGAGTGGGGCCTGGAGAGGTATCTTGGTGGAATAGGCACAGAAGTCGGAGGGTTGGAAGGAGGAAAGGAAGCGCCTGCCTAGGGTTGAATCTCATGTTAAACCCTCTCTCTGAGCAGCGTGGTGGGAACCAGCTCCCTGCGGAGAGCGGCCCAGCTGCAGAGAAAGTACCCGCATCTGGAGTTCAAGAGCATTGTATCCTTCTAGAGGAGGGAGGGGCAGCAGTTAGGTCCAGAGGGCCTGAAAGTGGAAGGGGCTTCCGGAGGAAGTGGACCACTGGACAGGGGGCTGTCTGGTCCTCCCATTCATCCACCCACCCATCCATCCACTCATAATCCTTTCATATTTTTTCATACGAAAGTGCTCGGGCCCTGGCCGGTTTGGTTCAGCGGTTAGAGCGTCGGCCTGCGGTCCCGAGAGACCCGGGTTCCGTTCCCGCTAAGGGCATGTACCTCAGTTGCAGTTTGTCCCCGGCCCTGGTTGGGTTGTGCGGGTGGCAGCCACTCGATGTGTCCCTTTCACATCGATGTTTCTCTCTCTCTCTCTCCCTCCCACTTTATCTGAACAAAATATCGAAAAATGTCCTCGGGTGAGGATAAAAAAAAAGAAAGTGCTCAGCACTGGGGATGATGATGAGCAAGATCAGCACCGGTTCTGCTTGTATTGAGTTTCCATTTTGGTTTGGGAGACAAACAAGCACTAACAATAGAGTGATGCTGAATCGTGATTACTGCGGTGGGAGAGGGTGAAGGGGAAGATGGAGGATACTTCCATTTTTATTTTATATTCTGTACTTTTATTTTAACAATGAATATGTAGTTTTATAAAGGTAAAATAGCATGTGTCAAGCGTTGCAATGTAAAAAGTATGGACTTCTGGAAGCTTCTAACGAATATCTAAACACAGACGTTGAAGGTGAAGGCTTCTTTGTAACCTTGGGCAAGTTACTTTACCCATCATTTTCCTCATCTGTAAAATGTAGATAATAAAACCCACCTCCTAGAGCTCCTGTGCAAATGAAATGAGTTTACATGTACACAGCACTTTAGAATGGTATCTGGCATGTAGTGTGAGGTGTTAGCTGTTTCCATTAAGCTGAGAATCAAAAGATGAGACGCTAGCCAACTAGAAGAGGAAGTTTAAGGCAGAGGGAACCACGTTCACGGTCCTTAGCATCGCTCCGCAGCGGGGAAACCTCAACACCCGGCTCCAGAAGCTGGACGAGCAGCAGTTCAGTGCGATCATCCTGGCGGCAGCTGGCCTGCAGCGCATGGGCTGGCAACACCGCGTGGGGCAGGTGGGGGCTGTCCCCATGCCCTCCCCAGTCACTCTCAATCCCCTTCCTGTCTAGATGCTCTCTTAGGACACCCGCCTCTAACCCTGTAAGCTAGAAACAGTCCCGGGCTGGGAAGATGGGGGATGAGAGGCCACACTCCCTCTTGCCTGTCCAGGCTTTCTGTGTGATGGCAGAGCCCCATCTCACTGCTGTGTGCCTTCAGTTACCCCATCTCCGTTTCTGCCCCCACAGATCCTGCACCCTGACGAATGCATGTATGCTGTGGGTCAGGTATGCTTGACCAAGGAAGCCATGTCTGATAAGGCTGTACAACCTTCTGCATCTGCTTCCCCTTAGCATAAAAGTGCCTGGGGGGAGGAGGCCTTGGGGAGCAGTTGGGGCTGGTTGCATCCTTAGCTCCACTGGTTGGGGAAAGATGGGGCCCGATGTCTTAGGCTGCTCTTCCATCAGGGGGCCCTGGGCGTGGAAGTCCGAGCCAAGGACCAGGGCATCTTGGATCTGGTGGGCGCGTTGCATGATCCCGAGACTCTACTTTGCTGCATGGCGGAGCGGGCCTTCCTGAGGCACCTGGTAGGGCCTATGTTCCACCTGGGGTGGGGTGGGGCAGGAGCTGGAAAGGGTTGTGGGGAGATTCTTCCAATTAATGCTCTGTATTTAGTGGTAACTCATTCTCGAATGTCGTGTATGACGGAGGAGCCAGGTCTGGGCCCCCAGCCTCCTTTTCAGTTGTCTTCACAGGCCTGTGGGTTTCTGGACTCTGGTCCCAGGGTCGGTAAGGGTCTTTGGAGCTCACAGGAACTTCTTACTGCAGGAAGGAGGCTGCAGTGTACCAGTGGCAGTGCACACAGCTATTAAGGATGGACAAGTAAGCAGGGAAGATGGGAGGATGGTGGGGAAGGGCTGTGGCACTTCTCCCTGCACATCCCAAGTTGCCATCAGGAGCCCAGGTCCTAAGCCGTTTCCTCACAGGATATACCGAGGCAACTGTTTTCTTCCCCAGCTGTACCTGACTGGAGGCGTCTGGAGTCTGGATGGCGCAGACAGCATGCAAGAGACCATGCAGGCCACCATCCACGGCCCTGCCCAGGTGCCAAGGCGAGGGTGAGGGCAAGGGCAAGAAATGTCTGCCTCATCTCCCCTTTTGTGCTCACCGGGTCCTGTGTTCTTCCCTCCCCCAGCACGAAGAGGGCCCCGAAGATGACCCTCAGCTAGTGGGCATCACTGCCCGCAACATTCCTCGAGTAGCCCAACTGGCTGCGGAGAACCTAGGCATCAGCCTGGCCAACTTGTTGCTGCACAAAGGAGCCAAGAACATCTTGGACATTGCACGGCAGCTTAATGATGCCCACTGACTGGTCTGTGGGGCACAGGTGCCTGCGCCCCAGCCCTCCGTGCCCCATTCCCGTTGCTAACTGAGGAGTGGCCACCCCGGGGACGGAGCTGCAGGGTCGGCCTTGCCCGCTCAGCAGGCGGGGGCTTCACCCCCGGAGGCCCAGCCCTCGAGTGTAAACAATACTAATAAACCAGCTCCGAAGGTGCTCTCGGTTTCGGTGGGGTTGCAGGAAAAGGACGCACACACCGCCCTGGACCCTCCGGAGGGGGGACTCTCCCACGCTCTCCGGACGCCCCTTGTTCCTGCCCGCAGCTTGTCCTCCGCCTCCAGGCCGGCCCTTGCCGCCCGCGGACACCCAGGGCCGGCCGTGACCTCAGCGCCCTCGCGACCAGAGGGTCGGGCAGTCCGGCGCCCCACGGCGCCGCGGGGCGAAATGAAAGAGGACACGTTTAAAAAAGACTCTTTAATAAACAAAACCAGTCCATCTGAAACTTCCCCGCGCCGAGGTCACTGCTCCTGGGCGGGCCGGCTGCTCATCGCAGTGCGGAAGCCGGGCTGGGCCCGCGGGGATCGGGTGCTGCAGGGCCGGGGCTCCGGGGCGCCCGCTCCGCACAGGCCCGGGCGGGCGGCGGGGCGGGCGGAGGCCGGGGGGCGGGCGGCGGAGGGGCCGCCGGGCGAGCGTGAGGGTCAAGGCTCCGCCGGGGCCCGGCCCCGCCTCCGGGAGGTGCCGCAGCCGCCGGCCGCGCAGGGCCCGGGGACGCCGGGCGGGCGGCCTCCGGCGCGGCGCGGGGGAGGGGCCGGGCGGGGGCGGCGCAGCTCTTCCCGTGAGGGCCGTGGTGGCCCTTAAAAGGGCCTTTGGGTGGCGGGGCGGGCGGGCGGCGGCGGCTCAGTACTCCTGCGAGGCCTGCGTGGCCTTCTTGCCGCCCGCCGGCGCCTTGGGGCCCACGGCGGCGCTCGTCTTCTTGGGCAGCAGCACGGCCTGGATGTTGGGCAGCACGCCGCCCTGCGCGATCGTCACGCCGCCCAGCAGCTTGTTGAGCTCCTCGTCGTTGCGGATGGCCAGCTGCAGGTGGCGCGGGATGATGCGCGTCTTCTTGTTGTCGCGGGCCGCGTTGCCCGCCAGCTCCAGGATCTCGGCCGTCAGGTACTCCAGCACGGCCGCCAGGTACACGGGCGCGCCGGCGCCCACGCGCTCGGCGTAGTGGCCCTTCCGCAGCAGCCGGTGGACGCGGCCCACCGGGAACTGCAGGCCCGCGCGCGACGAGCGCGACTTGGCTTTGGCGCGGGCCTTGCCTCCGGTCTTGCCGCGGCCCGACATGCTGCGTGAGGTAGAAGGACGGGGAGAACGAGCGCCTCGGAGGGGCCGACTCAGCCGCTCGCCGCAGTCGAACTGCTGCCGCGAACGACCGGGCCGCCCTTATAAACCCCAGGGCACACCTCCGCGCCCTCCTGATTGGCTCGTCCCTCCAGCGGCGTCTCTGGTTGGCTGCGGGGGAGCCTTCGCGGACGCGTCTCGGCTGAGGGAGCGCGACAGCCGATTGGTGGGATTTGAAAACCCTTTGCCCGGGGAAAATGGCGAGCAGCGCGGGCACGCTGACAGCCCACCACCGCCTTACGTAGCCAATCCGCGGGGAGCGCGCGAGATTTAAACGCGGCGGCCGGCGGCCCAAACCGGAAGGCGAAGAGGGTGGAGTCTGGAGCCGCCCCCAGAGGCTTTGGGAGAGCTGTGGGGCCTGGGGCTTTAAAGAAGGGCGAGCACTGTACGCGCCGGCGCCACGCCTCCCGGACCTGGCCCCTCCCTCCCGCCTCCGGTCGGGCCAAGGCAGAGGGAGGGGGAGAAACAGCGCCCCTGAGGGTCGAGCCCGCACACGACCCCATCGGTGGCTCCTCACGCCACCCGAAGCGTCAGGATCTCAGTGTTTATTCGACACGTCCGGTCTGGTCTCAGTGCTTTCTGCCCAGTCTCGCTAGAAGGGGCCTGGGGTCGTGAAGGAAAGAAGAAAGAAGAATGCGGCAGAGAGAAGTGCCTCCATCCACCCTCCCAATCGACCCGCAAATGCCGCGCAGGAAACACACCCACAGAACAAGAAAAAGACAAACTTTATTGTTACCACTGGAGCACCTGCGCCCCACACCCCGTCTCCTTTCACTGACTGGGGTACTTCATTTACGGGCCAAGGCGAAGTCATCGCCGAGCCCTGGCCCTGTCGCCAGCCAGGGTTATTCCCCAGGCCCACATTCCTTGAGAGTCAGACTGTGGGAAACCCACGCTGCAGTGTCCCGCCCGGGGGCGCAGGACACGGGGGACAGGGAGAGTGGCAGGTGGAAGGAAACTACAGGCCAAGTCCAATCAGTAGTCACTGGAGGGCAACGGAGGCCCAGGACGTCAATCATCACAGGGGAAGGAACGCTCAGGAGAAGGGGTGGGAGGGGCCGGGCTGGGACGCAGTCTTGGTCTAGAGTGAGGTTGGCCTGAGTCAGGAACCCTGGAGACTGTGAGGTAAAAGGCAATGATCAGGGGGCTCAGACGTCGTAGAAGAGTCGGACAAGCTGGTACCGAATGGAGAAGGTGACAGCGCTGCCCAGGATCTGCAGAGGAAAATGACCACAGTAAGAGCCACGGAGAAGGGGAAACAAGGAGGTGTCAACCCCATCCCCAACGACACCTGTAGCAGCAGCAGGAGCAGTGTGAGGTTTCTTTCATGCATGGGCCCAAAGACTTTAAGTAGCAAGTTGATGAGGGTCATGTTGTTACACTCGGTGAAGGCACCATCCTCATCATCACTCTGATGCACTGTCACTAGCTGGAGACTCTCTGCTATCTGGAAGGGCCGGAGGTGGAGAGAACTTCAGCTAATACCTATGCTCATCGAATGGGGATCTGCTTAATGTTTCTAAACTCCCCTTGGATCTAAAGCAGGCCTAGAGTCCCCATTCCCCGAATTAAGGATGGTGGCCTAAAGCCTTACCTCCTTGGTCCTGTTACCTTTAATATGATTTTTAAAAATAAATTTTAGAGAGACAGGAAGAGAGAGAAACATCAATTGGCTGCCTCCCCCACACGCACCCCAACTGGGAATTGAGCTGGAAACTTGGGTATGTGCCCTGACCGGAATCAAACCAGTGACCCATCAGTGCATGGGATGACACTCAATCAACTGAGCCACACCGGCCAGGGCCCCTCTTACCTTTAGAATAAAGGTACCCAAGAAAGAGAGGCTCTTGGTCTTGAACTTGGAATAGCTCATCTCCAGTTTACCTGTTTTAGTATTAAGTCTGTAGGGGGAAGATACATTTATGTAACTGGGCCACTACTTCAAGTGTGGTTATTTAATCAGAAGAGCACTGAATGGGGAGTCAAACAACGTGAGCTCTACTGCTGGCTCTGCTGCTTACTACTGTGAGCAGAGCTGCTGTAAACATCACATGAGATGATGGAAGAGAAATGTGCTTTGTAACTTACAAAATACAACGTCCCTGTCAAGCCCCAAGTAGCTACCTGGGCACACGGTGACGAGGGCAGGGGATGATATGCAGGAGCTGTGGCAGTGAGTAGAGGAAGTTGAACACCTGGGGCATGAAGAAGAGTAGCATAGTCTTGCTGAAGTGTCCCAAGATGCCCACCACGGCAAAGGTCATGCCAGCAAAGTAACAGAAGGTATCTCCCACAAACACCCGTGATGGGTACCTGTGTGGGGGAGAGGATCTGAGCCAGTGGCTAGAGGCCTTACCAGTCTTTTCTCTCATGCCACACACCTCACCCTGGCACTGGGCTAGCCCTGACCCTGGTTCTGACTCAGACTCCATCCAGCTCTCCCAGCAACTCTCCAGACCCAAGGCCCTGAATTCATCTATTCCTGGGGCTCCACAGCTCTTGTCCTTAACCATGGCTAGGTAGAGAGCAATTTAAGAATACGACCAGTAGAAGAGCAAGGAAACACTCAATATAGGTAGGCACAGATTTTGCCTCTCCATCTGGAGATGAGTCATGATCAGTACCATACTTGCCACATGTTAAAATAGTTGTCCCCCGATCCACATGTCTACTTACCAGTTATGATAGAGCAATCCCAAGGTGGTGAAAAAAAAGGGTATCATGAAGTAGAGGGAAAAGACATGATCATCTCGACAGTCACCTTTGGAAGCAGGGGAAAAAGAAAGAAGGAAAAAGTGATAGCCATTCCTCTGAATACCTTGTTTTTGTCTGCCTCTAAGTTTTGTTACAGGCTGTATTGTCCACCTCTCCCAAGCCACATTCAAGAACTCAATATCCCTTTTATATCAACCAGGCAATTCTCTACATTCCAGCTCTTTCAGGAACCCTTCCCAAACCAGTTACTGTCTTAAATTGGTTTAGACCACTCAGACCTACGTTTGAATACAAGCTGTACTTCCTAACCTTGGTCATGACAAATTTAACTTCTCTAAGCCTTAGTTTCCTCATCTGTAAAATATACAGTGGTTAATAACACCTGCCACTCAGAGCTGTTACAAAGTTTAAATGAGACGCCCTGGCCGGTTTGGCTCAGTGGTTAGAGTGTCAGGCCACGGATGAGTCTGGTTTCATTCCGGTCAAGGGCACATACCTTGGTTGTGGTTCATCCCCAGCCCTGGTCGGGGTCCTGCGAGAGGCAACCAGTGGATGTCTCTCTCTCAAATCAATGTTTCTTTCTTTCTCTCTCTCTCTCTCCACTTCCTCCCTCCCATTCTATCTGAAGAAAAATGGAAAACAGTATCCTCAGGTGAGGATTAAAAAAAGGTAATTTAGTCTTGGCTGATTTTGCTCAGTGGTCAGAGCGTTGGCCTGCAGACCAGAGAATCCCAGGTTCGGTTCCCGCTAAGGGCAGGTACCTCAGTTGCAGTTTGTCCCTGGCCCAGGTTGGGGTCGTGTGGGTGGCAACCCCTGGATGTGTCTCTCTCACATCGATGTTTCTCTCTCTCTTCCTCCCTCTCTCCCTCCTGCTCTATCTGAAGATAAATGCAAAAATGTCCTTGGGTGAGTCTGTAAAAAAAAATTTTTTTTAAACAAAGTTTAAATGAGATATTTTAAAGTGCCTAGCTTTAACAAACACTTATTGATGACCATTAGCCAACTACCATTAGAAACACACCTGTAATCAAAGCTGGATCTACTGACTTGTAACAAGGGAGACTTTCGGAAACCATATATCCTGGGGAACCATGGGATGTCTCAGTAAGGGGATGTTATAAGGATTTGTTTTAAGTAATTCTGAGCAGAATGCAAGGTGGCAAAGTTTTGCCCTGGTCTGGGTGCTGTCAACAGGAGTAATTCTTTGAACGTCTTAATTTTTATCTATGAAGTGGAAGGAACTGAGTTAGAAGGGAGCAGCAATCACTCACGTTAGCCAGAAGAGGGGGATCTTGGTCATTTTTGTGAGATTCATAGAGTTACTGTGGTTTTGCCTATGCTGACATAGTTGTGGAGGGGTCTGGTTTTTGTCTTAACTCTATCATGGTCACAGAGTGATTTGGGGGTTCTGTGAAATTGTTTATATTCAATAAGGGCCAATCATGGCCTACCTATTAGTGCAATTTAGCTATAAATGACAAGGCTGCTATTTTTCTCGGTTAATAAATCTTAGTTGTTGTTTGCAAAGTAAAATACTTTCTCTTATCTTCTATAATTATTTTATTTATTTTTATTGATTTTAGAGAGGGGGAAATAGAGAAACAACGATTTGTTGTTCCACTTATTTAAGCATTCATTGGCTGATTTAAAAAAAAATTTTTTTTTTTTGTCTTTATTGATTTTAGAGAGATAGGGAGAGGGAGACAGAAACATCGATGAGAAAGAACATCGATTGGCTGCCTCCTGCATGCCCCCCCACTGGGGATCAGGCCCACAACCTGGGCATGTGCCCTGACCAGGAATCGAACCTGCAACCTCTTGGTGCATGGGCTGACACTCAACCACTGAGCCGCACCAGCCGGGCATTGGCTGATTCTTGTATGTGCCCTGACCAGGAATCAAATCCACAACGTTGGAGTATCGGGACAACGCTCTAGCCAACTGAGCTACTCAGCCAGAGCTCTAATCTTCTATAATTATAATAACAATAATAATAATTATTATTATGTTTATTCTCACCCGAGGACATTTTTGCATTTATCTTCAGACAGAGCAGGAGGGAGAGGGGGGAAAGAGAGAGAGAGAGACACATCGAATGGTTGCCACCCACATGACCCCAATCGGGCAGGGGACAAACTACAACCGAGGTACATGCCCTTAGCGGGAACCAAACCCGGGACTCTCTGGCCCACAGGCTGACGCTCTAATCACTGAGCCAAACCGGCCAGGGCTCTTCTATAATTATTAACATATTGCTTTTTTCTCGAATTCCCCAACGCCAGTTTTCAGGCAACTAGTTCCCTTAACACTCAATCCCACCTACCTTCCAGCTCCACCAGGTTGAAGATGATGATTGAAGCAGAAATGACCAGTGACTGGCCAGCCTCTAAGCCATTAATTCCTGCTAGGATATTGATGGCGTTGGTACAGAATACTGCCAACAGCCCCATGTAGACATAATATAGGATACCTGGGGGAGAGGACAGTAAGAAAAGAAGCAGTGGCAAGTTTAGAATGGGAATTTAAGGATATTCTTCTGAAAAAAGCGGCGAGGACAGAGGATAGGATGAAGGGCCAACAGAAAGGGTCTGAGAGGACACAGAGACAAAGCAGGGACACTTGGGAGAGAATGGGGAGCGCCAGGAAGGATGCTCTGCTGGATCTCTTATGGGGTAAGGGTACCCTGAAGTAGGGGCTGCAGGGGCAGAGCGACTCACCCAAGTCTAAATGCAGGCCGAGCAGCGGACGAAAGGGCTTGGGCACCACAATGGTCGTGTTGCCAAAGTTGGTGAAATAGACCATGAGGAGAGGCAGCGAGGCGGCCGTGGGCAGCAGCAGCTTGTGGCGCCAGCGCAGGTTCAGGACATCATCCGCGAAGCCCAGGAAGATCATGCAGCAGATGGCCAGGAGCGCACCTATCAGGGCCACAAACTGGGGGAGGCTCGGGCAGGTCACCGCTCCACCGTACTCCCACTTCACCATTCCTGTCCAGAATTCCCGGTTTCGCCTGTTCCTTAGCCTCCTCCCCCAACCCAAACAACCCCAACTCTCCGGGAGCCCCCAGCCAGCCGCCCCCACTCACCCACTTACTTCGTGGTGGGGGAAGACTTTACACTGCTCCTCCACGAAGCAGTTCAGGAAGGGGAAGGGGATGAAGCAGAAGAGGATGATAAGGAAGACAGCACCGCTGATCACTCCCTGGGACTCTGGGCTGTGGCCCAGCAGCAGAGGGGGTGGAGGGGAGAGAGGAAAGGGGGCGTGGTCACACTAGTGCCAGCAGCGGGGCGGGAGCCACGGCGGGAGTTTCTGGGACCCCGAGTCCCCGGTTGCCCTCGCCCCTCCCCTCCCCACGCTGCCCGGGGGGCGGTCCGCGGGGCTGGCGCTGCATCTCCGCGAGCGGTCTAACAGCCCAGCCCAGCCCTGCCCACGCGCGTCCTCGGCCCGCGACCCGCGTGCCGCCGCTCACATCTGCTTCTGGCCGGATTTGTTGAGGTCCAGGCCACAAAGGCGCGCGGCGATGAAGTGGTCCCGGAAGGCTGGGATGAGGGTGACCGTGGCCACGAACCCCAGCAGCGAGCCGATCAAGTTCACCAGCAGCGGCATCGGCAGCTCCGGGAAGGCCCCCATGGTGAGCGAGCGCGGGCCGGCCCGGCCGCAGGGGCCGCCGCTCCCGGAGCCCGGGTGTCCCGCACCGGACGCTACGGCTCAGACTCGCGCCTCCCGCGAGCGCCCGGCTGCCTCGGCGCCGTCCCGTTGCAGGGAGCGCCCCGCTGGGCCCGCCCGGCTCTGGTTGGCGGAGCCGGCGGGGCTGCTGAAGCCGGCGGCGGCCATGTTTACTGTGGGCAGAGCCGCGGGGGGCCGACGGATTTCACGCTGCGCGCGCGACTCGCGAACGGAGCCACCACGTGGGCCCTGGAAACGCGCGGACGGCCAAAGCGGGCCCCTTCCTGTCGTCGTCCCGATGCACAACCCGCGGCGGGGGAAGCCCTTGCCCGGTTCCAAGATGAACGACCCTCTACCACGTGTCTGACGCCTCCGGCTCCGAGTTCCACGTCGGTCTTCGCCGCGTCGGCCTCTGCGGGTCACGTTTAAAGGGCCAGGCCCCCCAGTTGATCTGCGGCGCCTCCCAAGTGGGGAGCACGGCTCCGTGGAGCAAGGGGGTGTGGAGCAGCACCTGCCCCTTGTAAAACACCTGTTTCAAATGCAGTGGGGCCCAGCTGGGTGGCTCAGTGGTTGAGCATCGACCCTGCACCAGGAGGTCACCTGTTCTATCCCGGTCAGGGCACATGGCCAGGTTGTGGGCCCATCCCCAGTGGAGGCGGCCAGTCCATGTTCTCTCTCCTCGATGGTTCCATCTCTTTCTCCCTCTCCCTTCCTCTCTCTCTAAAATCAAGTAAGAAAAAAAAAAATGTAGCCCTTGTCGGTTTGACTCAGCGGTTAGAGCATCAGCCTGCGGTCCAGAGAGACCCGGGTTCGGTTCCTGCTAAGGGCACGAACCTCGGTTGCAGTTTGTCCCCGGCCCTGGTTGGGTCGTGCGGGTGGCGACCACTCGATGTCGATGTCTCTCTCTTCCTCTCTCTCCCTCCCACTCTATCTGAACAAAGAATGGAAAAATGTCCTCGCGTGAGGATAAAAAAAGAAAAAAAAAATGTAGTCTGAAGCCAAGGAAAATACAACTCAATTCCCGGAAACGCAGCTATGGTTTGGCAGATGATGTAAATTCTAAGGCATGGACACTTAAAAAGCCCCTCCTGCCCCGTGTTTTTCTTGTCCTTGATCTTGGTGCTTTTCCTTAAGCATCCCGCCCGGTCTCTCACCTCCTCCCTCCTGCAGTGGCAGGTGGTTGCAACCAGCACTTCACCACCGAAGGGGCTGGGAGTGCGCTCAGGTTTGGGGTCGAACCCGGTGCTTGACTTTCCTTGGCCCCTGCGGGATCACTGCATTGTGCCAAGCTACCACACCTAGGAGGTGAGGCTTCGGCTTCGGAAGGAGCTAAGGGAGCAGGAGAACCAGACCCACAGTGGCTTCCTGAGCCTCAGGAACTCAGTCTGGTTTCTTCTTCCAGGGCACCATGCCTGTTGCTTGGCACCTGTTTCCTCGCAGATAGCAGTTTACCACCAGCACCTTCCTTCTCTTTCATTCAACCCACAGGCTCTTCGGTGACAAGTGATTTCTATTCCTCAGAGAGCAGATCACCACCAGGGAGCTCGGAAGAGAACTCAAGTATCCTGATGCTTTGTCCACTCCTTGGAGTATGACAAGCTTGAGGAGGAAGGGTCAGGTTAACTTTTTTTTGGCCAAAGATAGTCCCCCCTGTGTCTCAAAACCAGGCATGAAATGTCTCTTCTACTTGAAGGCGACTCTAGTTAACAACAAAAAAACCATATACAGTAGTTATAAAACATACTTTATACATATGAAGTAATCCCAGTAATTTACATGATAGAATTCCATCAAATTATCAGTACTTATGTCCTGGCCCGTTTGGCTCAGTGGTTGGAGCACCGGCCCATGGACCAAAGAGTTGTGGGTTTGATTCTGATCAAGGGCACATACCTGGGTTGTGGTTTGGTCCCCGGACCTGGTTGGGGTCGTGTGGAAGGCAACCAATTGGTGATTCTCTCTTTCTCTCCTTCCCTCCCACTCTATCTGAAGATAAATGCAAAAATATCCTTGGGTGAGGATTTAAAAAAAATTGTTTTTCCATTACTTATTATCTCACTGGTATTCTTTCTTCCTCTGTCTCTCTCTCTCTCTCTCTCTCTCTCTCTCTCTCTCTCTCTCTCTCTGTGTGTGTGTGTTTGCCTCAGACTGGAAACTCCCGAGAGGCAGATGTTTTCTGTTCCACAGGCTGTCACCATAGGACTAGGGACACACAGACTTCTGTATACAAGGCACCACACATAATGAGCCTGGGTCTGAAGGAGCCAGGGCAATGGGAGCACATGGACAGAGCATTTAGTTGTGGTCAGGGAGGTGACAGGACCTTGAGGAAGAAGAGCATCTCCAAAGAGTTCAGTAAGTGGCCAGAGTGGAAGGGCCTTCCAAACAGGGAAAGTAAGAGGCCAGGAGCAGGCGGAAAAGAGGAGCTATGGGAGCCCCAAAGGAGGCAGCGTCAGTTATCTGGTTATCAGGAGTAGGCTGAGACTCCCCAGTCCTCCCTACTGGAAGAGGATGGGAGATTTGTTCAAAGACAAGACACTAGGGATTCATCATCCAGTACACATGTTACCATTAGAACATGGTTACTCGGATACTTGTCAAATAACCTGAATATATATTTTTATCCTCACCTGAGGATATTTTTGCATTTATCTTCAGATAGAGCAGGAGGGGCAGAGGGAGGAAGAGAGAGAGAGAAACATCGATGTGAAAGAGACACATTGACTGGTTGCCACCCACACGACCCCAACCGGGGCCGGGGACAAACTGCAACCCAGGTACTTGCCCTTAGCGGGAACCGAACCCAGGTCTCTCTGGTCCGTGGGCCAAACCGGCCAGGGCTAATCTGAATATTTTTGTTCCCAAGATGGTAAATGCCCAGTTGATTATCAGACTAATGAGGAGAAGCAAACATAACTTGGCCACACTTGAAAAGTCATGCCTTTCCTGGTAAAAGTTCAGCCCAGCCGGTGTGGCTCAGTGGGTGAGTGTCGACCATGCACTAAGAGGTCGCCAATTCGATTCCCAGTCAGGGCACATGCCCAGGTTATGGGCCCAATCCCCAGGGGTGGGCATGCAGAAGACAGCCAATCGATGTTTTCTCTCATCGATGTTTCTATCTCTCTCTCCCTCTCCCTTCCTCTCTCTCTAAAATTCAATAAAGAAAAAATAAAAATAAAAAAAGTTCAAAGCATTCGCCTGAAAGTTGAAACTCGTCCTAGGACTCATAGATTCGGTGAGCCGTCAATGGCTTTGGCTGTTTTCATGAGCCGAGCAGACAACATGTGACATGCATGTCTGTTTACTAGGGGTCCCGGACCCCCTCCCAGTGAGCAAGGCCAATCCACTATCAAGTCTGATTGCCTGACAAAGCCTGTCCCTAAAATGTTACACGGTGTCTGAAAAGTCCGTGAGACAGCTTTGGATAGTCTGGGGGCTAGGACACTTGCAGGACCAGATCTATGGCTCTTTCCAGGCGGCTGAGTTTCTTTTTTTTTGCTTTTCTTCCTGCCTCCCCTTATCAGTTTTCAAAAGCTGCTAGCTACAAGCAAGCCCTAGATCTCCATTCCATTGGGATGACATGAATGAAGTTTCAAAAGATGGAAACAATATAGGAATGTTTAGGGTTTACATGTATATTGGAATATTTTCTGTTAGACTTCTAAAACTTGCAAAGAATTGACTAATTCCTACTATTGAATGGGAAACTCTTAAGTACTGTGGGGACACAAAGTGATATAAATGCAGTTGTTTTCCTCAAGGAGTCTCCAGCATATTAAAGCAACTTGGTTGGCCCAGCTGGTGTGGTTCAGTGGTTGAGTATCGACCTGTGCACCAAGAGGTCACCGGTTCAATCCCCGTGGGGGGCATGCCGGAGGCCGCCCATCGATGTTCTCTCTCATCAATGTTTTTATCTCTTTCTCCCTCTCCCTTCCTCTCTCTTTGCAAATCAATAAAGGGGAAAATTTTTAAGCAATTCAGTTGACTGTGAGGGAAGAGAGATGAGTAAGACGGGTCCCACTCTTAAGCAGCTTCCTGGTGACGGGTAATGCACACACACGAACACCCAGCTAGACTACGAGGCAGAATGAAGTAAGTGCTACAGGGCTAAGCAAGGGAGGGAAGAGTGGGAGAACTAACCCTGAGACTCTGCCCTGGCCGGTTTGGCTCAGCGGTTAGAGCGTCCACCTGCGGTCCGGAGAGACCAGGGTTCGGTTCCCGCTAAGGGCACGTACCTCGGTTGCAGTTTGTCCCCGGCCCTGGTTGGTCGTGCTGGCAGCCACTAGATGTATCCCTTTCACGTCGATGTTTCCCTCTCTCTCTCTTCCTCTCTCTCCCTCCTACTCTGTCTGTACAAAAAATGGAAAAATGTCCTCGGATGAGGATTAACAAAAAAAAAAAAACCAGGGAGACTCACCAAGACTGGATTGTGAAGCAGGATCTGGTAGCAGAGGAGCAAGTGCTCAGTGGAGAAGAGGAAGTAAATCCCAAATCTCAGAGAACTGAGAGCCCTGGAGAAGGGTTTTGGGGGAGGAGGGTCTTCATAGTGAAACTTGACACCTGGACAACTTCCCCTGGAACCTACTGCCCTCGCCCTTGCTGCCCTGCCCACAGATAGCTTCCTCGTGCGTCCCTAGGTTCTGGCCTTGAATTCCGTCCTCCCTTCATCTCACATCTTCTCCTCCCCTCAAGATCAGGAACCCACACTCTAGGAACCTTCCGATGTTTTTGGAGTTCCATGACTACGCATGAGCAGGGCCACAGCAAGGTTTCAGTGAAATCCAGGGGCGCTCCGGCTCCCCCCACCACTCACCACCTCCTCTGGCACAAGCACCTTGTGGTTGACCTGCCAGGTTCTGCCTAGCTCTGCAATTCTCTGCTTTAAAGAGCATTCCAGCCCTGGCCGGTTTGGCTCAGCGGTTAGAGTGTTAGCCTGCGGTCCAGAGAGACCCGGGTTCAGTTCCTGCTAAGGGCATGTAACTTGGTTGCAGTTTGTCCCCGGCCCTGGTTGGGTCGTGCGGGTGGCAACCACTCGATGTGTCCCTTTCACGTCGATGTTTCTCTCTCTCTCTCTCCCTCCCACTCTATCTGAACAAAAAATGGAAAAATGTCCTCGGGTGAGGATTAAAAAATAATAATAAAAATAAATAAATAAAGAGCATTTCTTACTCCCAGGTACTCCTTCCTCAGACTAGCAACTGGACTTGGGAGAGGAGATTTAACACCGGCCCTGTTTACCTCTCTAAGGAAGGTACCGTGTGCCCAAGTCCTAGCAATGTATGTGGAGAAGGACCTCCGGGGGAATGGAGATTCTTTTGAATCCATTTGTGGGGTTTTCCTTCCCCTGCCTCCAGAAAGCAATGACAAGCCCCTGTCCTATAGGGTTGGAATCCCTATATCTTAAATCTAGGAAAAGGTGTACCTATAACACAATTTGGGGGTGCTTACTGGGATATTAGGTATTTGGATGTCAGGGTCCTCTAGCTAAATCTTTTTTTTATTATTATTACTTTTTAAAAATTATCTTAGAGGAAGGGAGAGAGAGATAGAAACATGGATGAGAGAGAACATCGATTGGCCGCCTCCTGCATGCCCCCCACTGGGAATCGGGCCCACACCCTGGGCATGTGCCCTGACCAGGAATCAAACCGGCGACCTCTTGGTGCAGGGTGGATGCTCAACCACTGAGCCACATCGGCCAGGTTAGCTAAATCTATTGACAGTCCAGTGCTACATCACCAGCTCCCTGCTCATTACCCCACCCTCTGCACATGTTCCTTAGGCAGGCGCTGTTACTATGGAAATATATTATTTTTTAAAAAAACAAGCAGCTCCAGGCTTGGGAAATATCTCCAGAACAAGCCACAGCAGCAAGGACGTTAATAGGGTGTTCCCGTGTTCCAGCTCCTAGGGGAAGGGGGGGTGGGAGTGGTAGAGGGGGGTAATGGTCCATGTTCTATACTCAACCTCTACCGGGTTCACATTCTGCTTTTCTCTCTGGTCGGTGTCAGCTGGACCTCTGCCTGGCACTTTCCATCTAGGAGGGTGCTCTGCACCCCCATACCCTGGGGCCTAACTTCGGCCAGGAAATGGGAACCAAGAAGCAGCAGAGCCTGGAGGTGTTGGGAGGGGTAAATGCTGTCCCCAGCAGTCACCTTCCTAACCCCAAACTACAACCCCCAGACCTCTGAGCAGCACAGGGGAACGCGGGGGCGGTGAATCAGGCGCGTGAAGTTACTCGGGCGGTGAGCTCGGGGAAGAGGGAGCACCCCATTCCCGGATGGGCTGGGGTGGTCAAAGATCCCGCCTCTTTCCAGCGCGGAACCGCCTCCGCTCCCGCCCTGCCCTCGCGCGGGGCTCCAGAGCTCCGCGCCGGGCTCCCCAAGCCCCACCCCGCGCGGGTGCGGCCCCTTTAAGGGCGGGTGGGGGCGGGGCGCCGGCCGTGTTGTCAGTGTCAGCTCTGCGCACGCAGCCCTCCCGGAGCTGGGGCGGCCCGCGAGCCCCGGGTTCCTGCAGACGAGTCCCCCCGGGGTCCGGCGGGGCCCGCGCCGTGGGTGGGAGGAGTCCCGCGCGGGACCAAGCCGCGTCGGACCGCCGGGCCGGAGCGAGCGGACCTCGAAGCGCGGGCGCCCGGCGCTGCGCCCCAGGACTCCTCTGGCTGATCTCTGGCCCCGCTGGTCCCGGGCGCCTGGCCCCGAGAGCCCCCGAGCCCGCTCGCCAGCCCCGGGGGAGCCCGCCCGCCCCGCGGCGCGCCTGGGCCATGCTCCCCCGGGGCAGCGGCTGAGCCGAGCTGGGACTGGCCCGGGGCTGCGCCCGAGCGCGCGCGGAGCATGGATCCGGGCTGGGGGCCGCGGGACGTGGGCTGGGCGGCGCTGCTGATCCTCTTCGCCGCCTCGCTGCTCACCGTGCTCGGCTGGCTGCTGCAGTACGCCCGCGGCTGGTGGCCGCTGCGGGAGCGCGGGGCCCGCAGCCCGGGACGCGCCTCGGCCGCCCCGCCGGCGGGCTCCCTGCGGGCGGGCGTGTGGCGCTCGCTGCTCCGGCTGCGGGCCGCTCGGGCGGGCGCCCCGGGGGAGCCAGGCGTCCGGGGCCTCCTGGCCTCACTTTTCGCCTTCAAGTCTTTCCGGGAGAACTGGCAGCGGGCTTGGGTGCGAGCGCTCAACGAGCAGGCCTGCAGGGATGGGGTGAGTCGGACAGGAGCACCTCGGGGTCCCCTCGCTCAGCCCTTCCTTCCAGGGGGGGACTGCTCGCTCATACTGGGTGGGGGTGGGGATCCACTGGGGAACCTCCTGGCTTCTCTTCCTTTCCGGGGTCGGAGAAAAGGGTGCAGGGGAGGCCGGAGGTTGTAGACACCCGGCTGTGTCCCAAATTCGCTGTTCTTGTGGTCAGGGTACTCTGGCCCCAAAGCCCTGCACAACTTGCTGTTCTCATAGCAACGCTAATCCCTGTGCCCGAGGGCACTTCCGCCTAGTCCGGGTGCTGACTGTGCTGGGGTGGGGGAATGTGAGGGTAGAAGGGAGACAGGTGCACCTTCCCAGGGAATTTGCCTGGTTCTCCTGCCACCGCACCCAGCTAACCTTTCGTGTCCCAAATCCCTGGTGTGATCAGGTAGGTTCCAAGGGAGCCTGAATTACCCCTCACCCTCACCCCTCAGTAATTCACTGCTACAGCCTAACACACCTTTTCCTATGCAGATATGTTGAGAGAAAGGTAGTTTAGGTGGAGAGCAGATTGATAATTAACGTTCTTCCCAGTAGATGAGGCTGGAGTTGCCCTTTGAGAGTCAGTCACAAACTAGCCTAATCTACTTCCTCCCGTTGCACCATGGGCATCTGACCTCCCAGGAGGTGGGGCAGGAAGCGTGGTCATAAGAGTGAGAGGTGGGTGGGTGGGAGGCAGAGGTCTCCCTCTCCCCGGGCCCTACCCATCCTGGCCCAGGAATCTCTCCTTGCTCTCACATCCATCCATCCAAGGCCCCTTGCTCAGAGGGTTCTCCGTTTCCAGCAACCACCAGTGTGAGGGCTTTACTCTGCTAGCTCCCCAGATGCCAGGAAACAGAAGTGACCACACAAGAAGTTGCTCTGTCTCCGGCCCAGCTGGCCAGCAGAAACCCAGATGACATCTTCCAGTCTACATCTTGACCTCACACCTCCCCCCAGCTGTCCCTGTACCTTGTCCCTGGGTCAGGAGTGACTCCCTAAGGCAGCTGACTCAGCTGGACATTGACCTCCCTTGCAGGGGATAGGAAGATTGGGGTTCCAAGCATCCATCTCCCCATCTCCTTGGGCCTGACCTTCAAACAAGACAACTGCAAGAGCAGAGAAACTGGCTTCCCTTGGTTTGCCAGGCAAATAACCCTGTGGATTTGTGTCCTCCCGTCCCAAGACCCAAGGAAGAGCTGTCGGCTCAGCCTGTGCCCCCTGCTCAATTCTTCTTCCCATCCTGCTCCCCAAATGGGGCAGCAGTAGGTCGCTTCCGCGGCTGTGAAAGAATTAGAAAGCTCTTTCAAGACCTAAGCTAAGCAGCTTTTTGTTCCCTAATACCACCCTGCTGTCTGCCTTGAGCAGTTAGCCAGACCCCGGGACCCTTGAGCCCTTTGAGTTTGCTTTTCTCCCAGTCCCTCTGGTCAAGTTCCCCAAGGCCATGCTGAGCTGTCTTCATCTCCAAGAATATGCATAGAATCATACTTGAGCGCATCCACGTCCTGTTTGTCTGGAAGAAGGCTTAGCCTGGTTTCTCAGCTCTTGCCTGGAATAAGTGGCCTTACTGCTTTTAGCCGTAGCTCAGCTGTGTCTCTTTCTGCCCAGCCGACACCTTTACGTATTATTTTTTTCTATGCATCCTTTTCTTTGGGTAAAGGATGGAGGACGAAGAGGAAGTTGGGGGGAGAAGAGGAGGCTCCTGGTATTCCAGGAAGAATCTAGGGGCTTCTGTTCAAGGTGATCTGGTCTCAGGTAGTCTGGCTCCCCAGTTCTCCATAGCAGCTGCAGGCCCTTTGATAGGTGGGGTTCAAGGAGAATACTTCCTATTCTAAAGCCCTTAGTCAAAGAGGGGTCAGAAGTGCCGGGTCCCAGCCAGCAACTGAGCAGGCCAGTCCTGCAAGGGTAGCTCCAAAGACCTCATCCTGTGTCCACTTTACTCCCTCAGAGCTCCATCCAAATCGCCTTTGAGGAGGTGCCCCAACTCTCACCCAGAGCCAGCATTGGTCATGTGACCTGCGTAGACCAATCAGAGCACACCATGGTAAGAGTCTGATGGACAGTGCCTTCTTTAGGGTCTCAGGGGGGGCAGAGTCCAAGGGTCATTCATTGGCTTAGGGATAAGGATTGGCTTCAGGAGGTCTGAGAATCCCACTAAAATTACATGCAACATGTAGTACATGTGTTTACGTCTACATTTTTCTGGAGAGAAGAGTCTTTGGCTTTTATGATTCTTTTATGAACTTGTGGCCCCAAAGCAGTCAGGTCTCAAGGACAACTGAAGAGGGGAGGGGTCTGCTGACCCATTACAGGGCAGGGCAACGCGGGATTGAGCGTCCTTTCTCCCTGCCTAACCCTGTGCCTCCACGCCTTGCCTGTCCCAGGTGCTGCACTGTCAGCTCTCTGCTGAGGAGGTGATGTTCCCAGTTTCTGTGACCCAACAGTCCCCCGCTGCCGTCTCCATGGAGACCTACCACATCACTCTGACACTGCCACCGACACAGGTGGAGGGGGTGTGGGAAGCAGAGTGGGGCGGCAGGTGGTTCAGTTGCCTTTCAGTTTGGTTCTGTTCTGAGATGGAATTTGGGAAGAGAGGGTCCTGGGGAGTGGGACTAATTGGGCAAGTCAACTCAGCCTTTTTGTCCCCGTCCCCAGTTGGAAGTCAGCCTGGAGGAAATCCCTGGTGAGGGGCTCCTTGTGTCCTGGGCCTTCAGGGGTCGCCCAGATCTCAGCCTGACGGTGCTTCCCAAGCTGCAGGCCAGAGAGGTGAGGGAGCGGCCGGTGGGGGTGGGGGTGGGGGTGGCAGGAAGAGCAGCAGGGGGAGGGGAAGCAGAGCTGGGGCCCCATCTCTTTGTTCTCACTAGAGAGGTGAGGGCCAAGTGGAGCTCTCCACCATCGAGGAGCTGATTAAGGACGCCATCGTCAGCACCCAGCCAGCCATGATGGTCAACCTCCGGGCCTGCTCTGCCCCCGGAGGTCTGGTGAGTAGGCACTCGAAGCAAATAGTTTGTGCCCTGGCCTGTGTGGCTCCATTGGTTGAATATCGTCCCATGCAGTAACATGTGTGCCCCCCCCCCCCTTGAATCCTGGCCAGGGCACATGCCCAGGTTTCAGGCTCCATCCCCACCCAGTAGAGGGCATGCGGAAGGCAGCTGATGTATGTTTCTCAATGTTTCTCTTTCTCTCTCTCTTCCTTCCTCTCTAAACATCAATAAAAAATACGTATCTTTAAAAAAGCAAATAGGCCCTGGCTGGTTTGGCTCAGCGGTTAGAGCGTTGGCCTGCGGTCCTGAGAGACCCGGGTTCGGTTCCCACTAAGGGCATGTACCTCGGTTGCAGTTTGTCCCCGGCCCTGGTTGGTTGTGCGGGTGTTAGCCACTCGATGTGTCTCTTTCACGTCGATGTTTCTCTCTCTCTGTTCCTCTCTCTCCCTCCCACTCTATCTGTACAAGGATTGGAAAAATGTCCTCGGGTGAGGATACAAAAAATAAAAATAAAAAAAAAGCAAATAGTGTGCAGGCATGCTGTCCCTGGGGTGCTGTGTCGGAATTCTCTTTTTACCTGCTTCTGCTCTCAGGTGCCCAGTGACAAGCCAGCCGTGGCGTCCCAGGCCCAGCCACCCACCTCCAGACCTACCCGGTTGTTCCTGCGGCAGCTTCGAGCATCGCACCTGGGAAGCGAGCTGGAGGGTGAGCGAAGTGGCTGGGGCTGCGGAGGCTGTGGTTGCAGGCCCTCTGCCCTCTGCCCGCGCAGGCCTCTCTGCCCCGCAGTGGCGCCCACCTTCGCTCTGAGCAGCTTCTCATTTCTGTTCCCTCACAGGCACCGGGGAGCTGTGCTGCGTGGCTGAGCTCGACCACCCCACGCAGCAGAAGTGGACCAAGCCCGTGAAGGCTGGTCCCGAGGTGGAATGGACGGAGGACCTGGCGCTGTAAGGAGTGACTCCCCCACCCCACCCCTGCTCCCAGGGCAGGCTGAGAAACATCCCTTCCGGCACAGCCCTGGCATGAAGGGACCAGCTCTGTTTTCACTGAACCTTGGTGTGTGCCCCTTTTGTATGCCAGCCCCCAATATGCCAGCCCCCAACCGAGGTCCCAGGGATACAGACATGACCAAGATACGCTCCCCACCCCGATTTGATTTCAGTCTCGAGGCAGAGACGGATGTATGTAAAGAAGATGGTATAAGGCCCTAGTCGAGGTTTACAAAAAGTGCATAGGAGTGCTTGTATGGGGGAGGGTAATTCCTGTAGAAGAATAAGGATCCGAGTAGGCTTCATGGAGGAGGTGACATTGATTTATATTATTTTATTTTTTGTTAATCCTCACCCGAAGATATTTTTCCATTGATTTTTAGATAGAGTGAAAGGGAGGGAGGGAGAAGCATCGATGTGAGAGAGATACCTTGAGTGGTTGCCTCCTTCATGACCCCCACTGGGCCAGGGATCAAACCTGCAACCCAGGTACTGCCCTTGACTGGGAATCAAACCCGAGACCCTTTGGTCCTCAGGCTGATGCTCTAACCACTGAGCCGAAGTGGCCAGGGTAGGAGATGAGTAAGAGGAGGATTTCCACAGACTGTGAGGGACCAGTGTGCTTGGCAGAGGGACGAGCTTGAGCAAAAGAAGGATGGCACTTTGAAACAGAGACCGGAAGGCAGGGTGGAGCAGGACCGGGGGGCTTGAAGGCCCAGCTGAGGATGTGGTCTCCGCTTCTCTGGGGAAGAGAACGTACTTGGAAGGCAGGAATCTTCTTGGAGCATCTTATGTATGTGTATCTCTCTCTGCCTCTGGCCTGGATCAGCTTGAGAGGGTGGATCCCTTTGCTAACTTCTCCCTCCCCCCCCTTCTCCTGGCCACAGGGATCTGGGCCCCCAGAGCCGGGAGCTGGTCCTCAAAGTGCTGAGGAGCAGCAGCTGTGGAGACAGTGAGTACGAAGCAGGAAGGGGCGCCCCTGGGTGGGCGCTGAGTGGGGCCTGGCCGTGGACCCAGCTCCCAGCGCCAACCCTCTCCGCAGCTGAACTCCTCGGCCAGACCACACTGCCTGTGGGCTCCCCTTCCAGACCGCTGTCCCGAAGACAGGTGTGCCCACTCACCCCCGGGCCAGGAAAGGCCCTGGGGCCAGCAGCCACCATGGCAGTGGAGGTGAGTAGCCGACCCCTGGGGGAGAAGGGAGGCGACAGGAGAGGGCTGTCTTTGAGGCCTGGCCTCTACTCTCCCGCCTCTTGACAGCTTCAGTATGAGGAGGGCTCCCCCCGGAACCTGGGCACGCCCACCCCTTCTACTCCACGCCCCAGCATCACACCGACCAAAAAGATTGAGCTGGACCGGACCATCATGCCCGATGGCACCATCGTCACCACAGTCACCACGGTCCAGTCTCGGCCCCGCGTAGATGGCAAATTAGGTAAAAAGGGGGAGCCTGAGAGTCCAGCCATACCTGGGTCCCCAGATCCTTGGCAGGACAGGGACAGGGCAAAGGAAAGCGCCAATTCCAGCGGCCCCTGGTTTCGCCCACATCCTCATTATCTTTGTCTCTCTCAGGTGTCCCTCACATCCCTCCATCCCCACTGTTCCCACTCAGTCCTGGGTCCACGACCCCTCACACGGGACCAAGTCCCCTCTGTCTCTTCCCAGGTCTGTTCCCCTCTCTTTCCCAGCCCCAACCGCCTGATCACTCCCTCCTTCTCCCCGCAAACTTCCATTGTCCTGTGGGATCCCTCAACTCACCCAGTGGCCTCTGTGATATTTCATCTCCTCCCAGGGTCTTCCGTGACATTTCTCCCGTCTCTAGGGGTCCCCTGGGATCCCCTTTCTTCCACTGAACCCGTGTGCCATCTCTGCACCTCTCAGTGTTTTCATGGCCTCTCCCACACCCCCCGTGGGCCCAGGGCATTTTCCCATACTCCCCTTTGGTTCCTGTGTATCCTCTGTCCCATGGTGGCAGCTGCTGCTGCTTTTCATTCTCACCCCAGGATGTTTTTCCATTGATTTTTAAATTTTTAAATTTTTATTTCTTAGATAGAATGGGGGGGCGGAGAGAGAAAGAGAAAGAAAAACATCAATGTGAGAGAGGCACATGGATTGGTTGCCCTCTGCATGACCCCGACCGGGCAGGGGATCAAACCTGCAACCCTGGATTGTGTATGTGCCCTTGACCTTGACCAGGAGTCGAACCCATGACCCTTTGGTCCGAGGGCTGACACTCTAACCACTGAGCAAAACCGGGCAGGGCCCCGTGGCATCTTCTTAATCACTCCTGTGATTAATCATCTCTTAGTCACCCCATACTCTGAGTCACCAAAGCCTACATCTCAACAAAGACAGGACGGGGGCCGCTCTGAAACACCTCCCGGCTCACTGACCCTCCCCCGCCCACCAGACTCCCCCTCCCGCTCCCCGTCCAAGGTGGAGGTGACCGAGAAGACGACAACGGTGCTGAGTGAGAACAGCGGTCCCAGCAGCGCCTCCCACAGCAGCAGCCGTGAGTGGGGGACTGGGAATGTGACCGCTGGCTGGTACCGGGCCCCAGAGTGAAAAAACCACTGTGGGTGGGGCCTGGGGGTCAAGTCCAAGAGGAGAGGGAGAGGAGTCAGGTTGCCCACCGTCTGTCCCCAGCAGGGGAGAGCCACCTTTCCAACGGCTTGGACCCTGTCGCAGAGACAGCGATTCGCCAGCTCACTGAACCCAGTGGGCGGGCAGCCAAGAAGACACCCACTAAGCGTAGCACTCTCATCATCTCGGGCGTTTCCAAGGTAACGGCTCTGGGGAGAGGAGCTGGGATAGGGAGGAAGCCCTAATGGGTCACTCCGGTCCATTAAAACTTGTCCCTTTTGCCAGGTGCCCGTTGCTCAGGATGAGTTGGCACTGTCCCTGGGCTATGCGGCATCTCTGGAAGCCTCCACGCAGGGTCACGCAGGGACCAGCAGAGATCCCTCTTCACCTCCCTCAGACCCACCAGTCCTGTTTCCAGGACCCCTAGAAGCTCTCTCCAGTCCCACAAGTGCCCAGGAAGCAGACGAGACAACACGGTCGGACATTTCTGAGAGGCCGTCTGTGGATGACGTCGAGTCGGAAACAGGGTCTACTGGTGCCCTAGAGACCCGCAGCCTCAAAGATCACAAAGGTGGGAGATGCTGGCAGCCCCACCTTCTGTGCTCAGAATCGTGACCTGGGTCCTCCTGGACCCGTCGGGACACGAACGCCAATTTGCTTTGTCCTCTCCTGACCGATTGCCAGAGACCCCAGCCTGTCTCGGCCGAGCTCAAGTAGAGAGGGAACTTGACGCTTTGGGTCCTGCGACATCATTTACCACCCCTTTCCTTTTCTCCTGTGTCTAAGTGTGTGTCTTCCTTCCCTTGTTTTATTTCTTCTTCCCTTTCATCTGTACTCTCTCCCCTGTGAGTAAAGAAACCCTACCTTGGGCTCCCCTAGGACCATGGCTCTAGTAGTGGCACTTTGTGGATAGTAATGGTCCTTCTAGCTTCTCTTTTTTTTTCTTTATTGATTTTAGAGAGAGAGGAAGGAGAGGGAGACAGAAACATCGATGAGAGAGAACATCGATTGCCCGCCTCCTGCATGCCCCCCACTGGGGATCTGGCCCACAACCTGGGCCTGTGCCCTGACTGGCGACCTCTTGGTGCAGAGGTCAACGCTCAACCACTGAGCCACTGGCCGGGCAGTCCTAACTTCTGAAGATGAAGGCGTCCTCAAACATCATCTCTGTGTCAGCGGGTCTGTCCACCAGAGCTGTATTTAACCACTTGTGGATAATCAGATTCCTAAACCCAAAGGCTGCTGTGCCAGCACCTTCCTCATAAGTTGGTCTCAATGGACCTCTTTGAAGTTTCCCAGATGTGTCCGTTCCTGCGCACATCCTGGAATTTTGTCCATAAGTCAGTTCCACCCAACCTTGTTCCTTCATGTTTCCCTCTGAGGACATTTATTTATTTATTTTTATTTTTTTTAAAAAAATATTTTTTTTCTTTATTTGATTTTAGAGAGAGAAGAAGGGAGGAGAGAGAGAGACAGAAACATTGATGAGAGAGACAGAAACATCGATGAGAGAGAACATGGATTGGCTGCCTCCTGCACGCCCCCACTGGGGATTGGGCCCACAACCTGGGCATGTGCCCTGACCGGGAATCGAACCGGTGACCTCCTGGTGCAGGGTCGATGCCCAATCACTGAGCCACACCTGCGGGCTGAGGACATTTTCAGAAACCCCTCTGCACAGCCTCTGTCTTTCCATAGTAAGGGGCCAGCTTGCAGTCTGCACACAGAGCCGCAGCCCGGGGACATTCCTCCTCGGCCCGGTTCTGTCCCCAGCCACACAGATCCCGCGGGCACCCCCGCTTCTTCCTCAGGAAGGACACAGGGCATGTTTTGTCTCTGCTTTCTTTCCTAAGGAAGCCTGGCTTGGAGGCCGAGGGCCTGGCTGTGCTCTGCACCTCGGCCGCCCCGCTCAGGCTGCCCCTGCCCCGTGCCCCCCTCTCCGCTCAGCCTGCCCCCCCCTGTGCTCCCCTCTCCGCTCAGCCTGCCCCCTGTGCCCCCCTCTCCGCTCAGCCTGCCCCCCCCTGTGCTCCCCTCTCCGCTCAGCCTGCCCCCTGTGCCCCCCTCTCCGCTCAGCCTGATCCCACCCCGTGCCCCCCTCTCCACTCAGCCTGCCCCCCCATGCCCCCTCTCCGCTCAGCCTGTCCCCTGTGCCCCCCTCTCCGCTCAGCCTGTCCCCTGTGCCCCCCTCTCCGCTCAGCCTGTCCCCTGTGCCCCCCTCTCCGCTCAGCCTGCCCCCTGTGCCCCCCTCTCCGCTCAGCCTGTCCCCTGTGCCCCCCTCTCCGCTCAGCCTGTCCCCTGGGCCCCCCTCTCCGCTCAGCCTGTCCCCTGTGCCCCCTCCTCTGCTCAGCCTGTCCCCTGTGCCCCCCTCTCCGCTCAGCCTGTCCCCCCTGTTCCCCCCTCTCCGCTCAGCCTGCTCCCCCCCGTGCCCCCCTCTCCGCTCAGCCTGTCCCCTGTGCCCCCCTCTCCGCTCAGCCTGTCCCCTGTGCCCCCCTCTCCGCTCAGCCTGCCCCCCGTGCCCCCCTCTCCACTCAGCCTGTCCCCTGTGCCCCCCCTCTCCGCTCAGCCTGCCCCTCGTGCCCCCTCTCCGCTCAGCCTGCTCCCCCCCCGTGCCCCCCTCTCCGCTCAGCCTGCCCCCCCTGTTCCCCCCTCTCCGCTCAGCCTGATCCCGCCCCGTGCCCCTCTCTCCGCTCAGGCTGCCCCCCCCACCCTGTGCCTCCCTCTCCGCTCAGCCTGCCCCCCGTGTCCCCTCTCCTCCCCCCGTGCCCCCCTCTCCGCTCAGCCTGCCCCCCCTGTTCCCCCCTCTCCGCTCAGCCTGATCCCGCCCCGTGCCCCTCTCTCCGCTCAGGCTGCCCCCCCCACCCTGTGCCTCCCTCTCCGCTCAGCCTGCCCCCCCGTGTCCCCTCTCCTCCCCCCGTGCCCCCTCTCTGCCCCCCTGCCCCCTCTCCTCTCAGCCTGCCCCCCTACCCCCCTCTCCGCTCAGCCCCCCCCCCGTGCCCCCCTCTCCGCTCAGCCGCCCCCCCCCCCCGTGCCCCCCTCTCCGCTCAGCCTCCCTCTCCCCCGCAGTGAGTTTCCTGCGCAGCGGCACCAAGCTCATCTTCCGCCGGAGACCCCGACAGAAGGAAGCTGGGCTGAGCCAGTCCCACGACGACCTCTCCAACGCCACGGCCACGCCCAGCGTCCGCAAGAAGGCCGGCAGCTTTTCCCGCCGCCTCATCAAGCGCTTTTCCTTCAAAACCAAACCCAAGGCCAATGGCAGCCCCAGCCCCCAGCTCTGAGGGCCTCCTCTCCTGAGCTGGGACAGGCCCACGCCCGACTCCCCTTGGGTCCCCTTCCTGGACCCGCAGCCTGGGCGGGGAAGCCCTGTCCCGGGCTGGGGGCCCTTGGAAGGGTACTTGCAGTGGGGACCGAGAGAGAGGAGCCCCTGGGCTGAGGACCCGAGGGGGGGTGGCTGGAGGGAAGGGGCTCTGTCCTGGCATGTGTGGGCACTCCTCAGAACTGTGCGCCTGCTGTTGACACTGGCCCTCGGAGGAGTTCCAGGGTGCTCAGCTCCCCAGCTGCCCCCCTTATTTATTCTCTTTTCTATTTATAATACGTGTGGTCCAGGACTCTCAGTGAACAGAGGATAGAGGGCATCTCTCCCCGGTGACCCTTCTTTCCTGTCTCAGGAGGGTAGGCAGGTCCCTCTGGGTGGGGCTCCCACACCTCCCTTAGGTCCCTACTCTGACCAGCACCAGTGTCTCCCTCGGAGGACACTGGCAGCCAGTGCCCGGAATGGGGGGCAGGTACTCCCCACCTCCCTGCCTCCACTTCTGCTCCTCATCCCTCCGTTCCCCTTTATTACCATTTTTGTACCTGATGCCTTCTCCAGGAGCAGTGGCTCTGTTGGAAGGAGGGATTCAGGGGCTCGGTGGGGACCCTTCCCTGAACAGGTGGCATTAGGGGTTTTATTTCAAGACCATGATGGAGCATGAGCAGGGCTGCACCGTGGTATGTTGGGAGATGATGATGTCCATTGCTGTGTGATGGCTTGGAATTTAATTTATTAAAGTCAAATTGGAGTTTATAAACTGGACAACTGGTTATCCTTTGAAAGGCGAAGGGGCAGTGAGGCTGTGGTGTCGAGGGTCAGGCCCAGGGCCCAGGGAGTGAGGTGGGGTGAGTGACACACACATCGGGTCTGCTGAGAGGTTCCCGCAGGGAGGGAGCGACATGTGGAAAGAGGGTGGGAGAACAGGAGTTTTGAAGGGTGAGGTTGTAGCAAAGGTCAGACAAAAAAGGCAGTTTGCTAGTACAGGCATCTTCAGTTTCCTCTCTCGAACAATCTGCTCCTGCCTGGAAATAGCAGAGCCCAGAGCAAGGACTCTGGATCTACACTGCCTGGATTGGACTCCCAGCTCCACTAATTACCTTTGTGACCTGGGGCAAGTTATGTAACCTCAGAGTGCCTCAGTGTTCTCATCTGTGAAAGGGGGATGTGGTTGTAGATGGGAAGTAAGTACAGTGCTCAGCACTCTCCTGGCACTGAGTGGTGACAAAGGGTTAACTGTGGCCTCAGAAGAGACAGCTTGGGAGGGGGAAAGTCTTTTTAAAATTTTTCAATTATTTTTAGACATACAGCATAGTGGTTAGACATTATATAATTTATGAAGTGATCCCCCGAGAATTCTAGTCCCCACCTGGCACCATACATAGTTGTTACAATGTTACTGACTACATTTCCTATGCTGCCAATTCATACTTCATTCCTGCACCTTTTTCACCCAGCTCCCCAGCCACTTCCCATCTGGCAACCATCAGTTTGTTCTCCATCTATAAATCTGTTTCTGTTTTGTGTGTTTGCTAATTTTATTCTTTAGAGTCCACATATAAGTGAAATCATGCGGTATTTGTCTTTCTCTGTCTGGCTTATTTCACTTAGTACAATACCCTTTGGATCTACCCATGTTGTTGCAAACGGTAAGGTTTCATTCTTTTTTATGGCCAAGTAACATTCCATTGTATGTATGCATCACATCGTCCTTATCCAATTGTCTATGGAGGGACACAGGATGCTTCCACACCTTGGCTATTGTAAATAATGCTGCCGTTATTACAGTGCATAGGGCTTTTTGAACCAGTGTTTTGGATTTCTTCAGATAAACACCCAGAAGTGGAATTGCCGAATCATAAGGTAGTTCTATTTTTAATTTTTTGAAGAGTCTCCATACTGTTTTCCATAGTTGCTGCACCAGTCTGCAATCAAGAAGGGGAAGTTTTATCAAGGTTTCGTCATCATAAAAATTCTTTCGCTCCTAAAGGTGGGCCAGTTCCAGGGAGAGATGGGTACTAGGAAACTCTACGTCCCTGGTTCCTGGTGGCTGGGACCTTGTGCAGGACTTGAAGTAGGCAAGCCTGCTGCCGGATTTCAGAGCACTGGTCCGGGGTCAGAAACCTGCGTGTTCCACGGACACACCGGGTGACCTTGGGCGGACCGCTGCTTTGTGGACCTCAACTTCCTGGTCTCTGAAAGGAAGAGTGGCCTGGGTAACCATCCAGATTGTTCTCAGCCCTGCCCTTCTGGCTTATATACATCACAGGGTTCGAGGCACGTGACTTTGGGAGGCAGCATGGAGTCATTGATATCCCCCATGATCCTGTCCACACTAGTCACAGACTGTGGGATCGTGTATTTAGAAAGAGTGGCAGAGTATGGATATTTGGTTAATTCGAATATAGGGATAGGCTCAACTCTAAGTCATGAAAACTCAGATTTATAAAGCTATTTCCCCTGATCTCAGGAACGCAACTCTCAGTGGTTCTGAGGGGCAGTTTGTTTGTTTACCAACATGACAAGACAGCCAAACACACTGAACTGGAAATTTCACAAGAAACTTGTTGATGGGAGGGTAGGTATTGAGAGTCCCACTGGACCTGTGGACTGAGTGGCTGGTCATTGGAAATTGTGCTCAACTTCCAGGGCTGAGCTGCCCAGAGTTCAAAGGAGCCACATAGTTGTCGTGAAGACATGCCCGGTCACAAAAATAGGGATTTTGAAAGCGAACGCAAAGGCTATACATAACACAATTTAATCAACTTGATGCATTTTATACTTTCGGAAGAGAGCACAGCTTTGGATGAGTACGAATTATGCTTTAAGTTTTTGTGGCAGCTTTTAAAGAACAAGTCCCAGAATGTGTCGGAATTATCCAGCCAAAACTGAGGCTGATTTTGAAAAGCAGCAGATTGAGATGGAAGTGAGCCACGCTAGACGGCAAGCCACACACGCCCCACGTTCGGAAACCTGTGGATCGCAGAACCGTCTCGAGCTTTTTACTCTGTGAAAACTGATCTACACAGCTCTGTGAGCGAACTTTTTCTTCTCTCAAGTAAAGCTAATAGCCATCTTCAGTGGTATATATCTGAATCAAAGTAAGATTGGCATTTCGTGAAGTACTACTATAACCATGCTTTTGAATGAGCAAAGTTGATACAATATATTTTACTATTGTATTATATTTTAAAACAAGCACAAAGCGATAATTCACTGATAATAAACTTTATGGGAACATTCCTGGTTTCACTATAACTTTGCTTTTTTTTTTTAAAAGAGATTTGTGTGTGTGTGTGTGCGTGCGTGCACGTGGGGGGTGTGTGATTTGTGCCCCTAACAGGAACAGAACCTGGGACTCTCTGGTCCACAGGCTGATACTCCAACCGCTGAGCCAAACCGGCCAGGGCTAACTTAGCTATTTTTTTTATCCTCCCCCGAGGACATTTTTCCATTTTTTGTTCAGACAGAGTGGGAGGGAGGGAGAGGACGAAAGAGAGAGAGAAACATCGATGTGAAAGTGGCTGCCACCTGCACGACCAACCAGGGCCGGGGACAAACTGCAACCGAAGTACGTGCCCTTAGCGGGAACCAAACCCAGGTCTCTCTGGACCACAGGCCGACGCTCTAACCGCTGAGCCAAACCAGCCAGGGCTAACTTTGCTATTTTTAATGGCACCTTTATTGTATTTATATTGGACATTGAATGTTTTTTCTGATCATATACATCATAGAGGCCTATTTTTAGGTTAGAAAAATACAACACAATAAAATAACTATTAATCCCAATGAAGTTTACTAAGGTACAGAATTTATTTAACAACTATAACTTGAACCCTGACTGAGTGCCAGCCACTAGGCTAAGTGGTGGAATTACGAAGGTGGAGAAGGTACGCTTTCTCACTGAACTCAGGCGAGTGTGCAGAGTACAGACAGACAGGGAAATACAATGCATAATAGAGCTGTAATGGGGAAATACGGGAAAGCAACGTCCAGAATGACTTCTTGGAAAAAGAAGCCTCTTCCCTGAGAACAGAAGAATGGGTAGCAATCAGACCAGTGCCAGGGACGGGGGAGAAGTGGAAGAGTGTTCCGGGCACAGGAGACAGCAACTACTAGGCAGGAGAGGTAAGAGGTGGCCAGCTAGGTGTGGTGAGAAATGGAAAGGATTTGGGGCTGCAGGCTGGGTAGTTCAGTTGGTTAGAGCATTGCCCTGAAACGCCAAGGTTGAGGGCTTGACCCCTGGTCAGGGCACATACAAGAATCAACCAATGGCCCTGGCCGGTTTTGCTCAGTGGTTAGAGCATCGGCCTGTGGTCCGGAGGGACCCGGGTTCGGTTCCCGCTAAGGGCACGTACCTCGGTTGCAGTTTGTCCCCGGCCCTGGTTGGTTGTGCGGGTGGCAGCCACTCGATGTGTCCCTTTCACGTCGATGTTTCTCTCTCTCTCCCTTCCTCTCTCTCCCTCCCACTCTATCTGTACAAAAAATGGAAAAATGTCCTCGGGTGAGGATGATAAAAAGAATCAACCAATGGCCCTAATTGGTTTGGCCCGTGGACCAGAGAGTCCCGGGTTCGGTTCCCGCTAAGGGCATGTGCCTCGGTTGTGGTTGCGGTTGGTCCCCGGCCCCAGTTGGGGTTGTACAGGTGGCAACCAGTCAATGTGTCTCTCTCCCGTCAATGTTTCTCTCTCTCTCTCTCCCCTCTCTCCCTCCCACTCTATCTGAAAATAAATGCAAAAGTGTCCTCAGGTGAGGATTAAAAAAAAAAAAATAGAATCAATCAATGAATGCACAAATAAGTAGAACAACAAATTTCTCTCTCTCTTTCTGTGTCTCACCCCCCACACGTAGTTCCTCTCTGTCTCTCAAATCAATAAATAAATTAAAAAACAAAAACAAAGAAGGGCTGGAGCAGGAAGTGAGGTGGAGAGGACTCAAGACACAGCTGGAGAAGCATGCAGCACCCAAGGTCTAGAAAGCCCCAGTACGCTTTGGGGTTTTTGCCCACGAGGTGAATGGAATGCCTTTGAGTTCAAAGCAGAGTGGTTTGATCACATTTGCTCTCTGTAAAGATCACTATGAGTGCTCCATCGAGAATCGTTTGTAGCAGTGATTTTCAGTCTTTTTCATGGCACACATCAACTACTAAATCTCTGCAGCACACCAAAAAAAGTATTATATATTTAGGCCGACCTAACAAAAAAAAAGTATACTTTTGGTTCATTCACACTGAACAGCTATTGTGCTGTGTTGGCTGCCGTCATTTTTTTTTTTTTTTTTTTACAATCTAAGGGAAAAGAGGGCTGTGGCCCTGACTAGTCAGGTATTGCACGTTTTAAAAATTCTTGCAGTGCCCTGGCCAGTTTGGCTCAGCAGTTAGTGTTGGCCCGAGGACCAGAGAATCCCGGGTTCGGATCCCCGGTAAGGGCACGTACCTTGATTGCAGTTTGTCCCTGGCCCCGGTTGGGGTCATGTGGGGGGTGACCAGTTGATGTGTCTCTCTCACATTAATGTTTCCCTCTCTTTCTCTTACCCCTTCTCTCCTTCCCACTCAATCCGAAGATAAATGCAAAAAAAAAAAAAAAAAATTCTTGCAGCACAGGTGTGTGTGAAAAAACGCTGGGGTGGGGGGGGGGGGGAAGCAAGAGTACATGCACTGCAACCAGTCCTGTGAGTGCAGACCTCTAGGCTGGAAACATTTACTTCTAGTCATTTAAACTAGAGAGGCACGGGGCAGATTAAGAATGAAGTATGTGCCCTGGCTGGTTTGGCTCAGCGGTTAGAGTGTCAGCCTGCGGTCCAGAGAGACCTGGGTTCGGTTCCCACTGAGGGCACGTACCTCGGTTGCAGTTCATCCCGGCCCTGGTTGGGTCGTGCGGGTGGCAACCACTTGATGTGTCCCTTTCACGTGGATGTTTCTCTCTCTCTCCCTCCCACTCTATCTGAACAAGTGGAAAAAGGTCCTTGGGTGAGGATGAAAAAAAAAAGAATGGGGTATGCCCGGCTGGTGTGGCTCAGTGGTTGAGAGTGGACCCACGCACCAAGGTGCCTCCAGTTGGATTCCTGGTGGGGCACAGGCCCAGTTCCCAGTGGGGGGCATGCAGGAGGCGGCCAATGGATGTTCTCTGTCGTGCATGTTTCCACCTCTCTCCCTTTCCCTTCCTCTCTCTCCGAAACCAATAAAGAAGAAAAAAGAACGGGGTATGAATCTGAGCTACCCCGTCTTTAGGAAGGCAGAATTCACAGGACTTGGCAATGGATTGGAGGGATGGTCCCTGGGAACAGCGCGGTTGTTCCCGGAGCCTGGTAACACCGGAGGCAGAGCTGGTGGGGCACAGAGGCTGGCCCAGGAATGCTGATATTTAAGAGCTAAGATCAGGAGGGTGAAGGATAGAGGGCGGGATGCAGTCTGGGCCGCGCAGAGCGGGCGGTCCTGGGCACTCGACTTCCACGCAGCCAGCTAACGCAGGGCGCCAACCGAGCAGGGAAGACCCCACCCGGCACCTGGCCCGCACGCTGCGCATGTCCAGTGAGGCCTGCGCCGAGCCTGCGCACTGGGCGGATTCGGCCCTAGGATTGCTGCTGCGCTTTGCTTGGGTCCCAGCGGCGCGCGCCACGCTCCCTTTCCCGGCAGTCCGCCGCCACCCGCTCCCGCCCCTTCCGCTTTCTGGCCCGCCCCAGTTCCGTCCGTCGCAGCGGCCATTGGCTGACAGAGGGAGACGAGCGCGACGATTGGCTGTCGCTCAAACGCCCTCCCGGAAACGGCCCGAGGCGCTGGAGAGCTGGAGAGACGCGGAGCCCGGGCACCGTCAGCCGGCGCTCGCGCTTGGAGGGGCAGCGTCGCGGGGCGCGCTCGGGGGTCTCCGCGGCCGGGCTCTTCCGGAGCCGTCTCAGCGACGCTTCCTCTGCAGCTCGGCCACGCCGGGCGGCCCGTCGCCTGCCGGGCCCGGGCCCCCGACCCCGCGTCGAGCCCGCCTGCGCTCGCGTCGGGGTCTTCGCCGCGGCCGAGCTCCGTCACCGGGCGCCTCGTTCGGGCGCTGTCTTCAGACGTCCGAGTCCAGCGCTTTGGCCAAATTGTGAGTCCTTGGGAGGTTCGGAACCGGGGTCCCCTCCTCGTGCAGACCTTCCCGGGTCCATTTGGTGCTTTGCGTTCTGCGAGCCCTTAAGTGTCTGCCGATTGCTTCTGCCCGCGACTGCTGATGGAGAGGCGCGTTAGGGGTCCCTCGGGGCTTCCTCCTCCTCCTTTTTTTTTTTTTAATGGTAGCAAACTCGAAGAGTGGGAAGGTGCTTGTTAACCCCCACCTGCGGGTATTTCCCCATCGATGTTTAGAGGGGAGGAGGCAGGGAGGAGGGGAGAAGCACGGATGTGAGAGCGACGCCCCGATGGGCTGCCTGCCGCAGGACCGCAGGGGTCCCCCAGTTCCGTGCCCTGGACCCTCGGCTCTGGCCGCCGAGCAGACCAGCAGGGGCCGCTTGTCCTTCTGTCGGCCTCGTTTGTAGAATCAGATCAAGCTGAGCATCCTCTTGCCTTCAGGAGCAAGGAGGCGGAGAGCCAGCGTTTGGTGAGTTCAGTTACTATTACTTTGTAATCCTCACCTGAGGATGTTTTTCCATTTTTGTTCAGGTAGAGGGGGAGGAGGGAGAGAGAAAAGTTGATGTGAGAGAGACATGGTTGCCTCCCGCATGACCCCAGCCAGGGCCGGGACAACCGCAACCGAGGTTCGTGCCCTTGACCGTCGTACCTCGGTCCTTGGGCCTGGGCCGTTGCTCTAACGCCGAGCCACACCAGCCGGGGCGATGCCGAGCACTTGACTGTGTGTTCTGTAGTTCGGTTCTTGAATACATTTCATGAGAGGGGTGTGGTTATTTCCGGAGGCCCGCGTGCCTGGCCCCAGGTGGCAGAGCTAGCTGGCGCTTTCCAGCCAGGTCTGTTGAATCCGTCACCCGTGCCGATATTGGGATCCCATTTCACATGTAAGGAAACAGGTGTAGAGAAGCGGAGTGATCTGTCGAAAAATAAAGTAATAGCCCCGGTCGGGTAGCTCCCTTGGTTGTGTCGGATTCGCCAAGGTTGCCAGTTCGATCCCGGTCCAGGGACACAGAAGAATCAACCAATGAATGAATGAATAAGTGGAGCAACAGATGCATTCTCTTTCTCTCTCCCCCTTCCTCTCTCACTAAAACCAGTAAGTTAAAAAAATAAAGTGACAAATTAAATTTACTTAAACATTAAGTAGGTATGTGCTGGCCCTGCAGTTAGAACCGAACAGGGCCAGAGGCAGGCTCTGAGAGCATCTAGCATAGTGGCGGACACTGACAAAGTAACTACTTAGTAAAACACTTGGGCATTGTGTCTATAACTGTGACGTCTGTGGGAGGAGGGGATCCGAACAAGAGAAGTAAGACAGATATAGGACGAAAACGGAGTGAAACGCACTGCTTTGAATGATCTTTTGACCGCTTCCTAACTGTGACCTTAGGTAAAGTACTTAACCTACCCGGGCCCATTTCTTCATCAGTGAAGTGGGATAATAGGGGTACCTACCTAATAGGGTTCCTGTATTAATCGTTTTGATACATATAAGATGCTTAGAATAATGCTTGACAGTTTTTATTGCATTATATTATTCTTGTTATATTATTTTGGACATAGCAAAATCATTGAGACAAAAACTTGAACCCAGGTCCAGTGCTCGCTCCACTACACAAGTTGCCTCCTTGCACTCCTTGCCTTCTGAAAGAGTGGTGATCAGATAGTCCCTCTGCCCTTATCTCCCCAGGGTAGAAACAGGCAGGGACCAGGGAACGGAAGGAAAGAAGGCTGGGGACCGCGGAAGAGGGACTCGGGGAGCGCTGCCCAGTTTCCGGGCATTCTAGATACCTGGATGGCCTGGGCTTTGCCCGCCAGCCCCACAGCAGTGGGGAGCTAGAATGCTCGTGCCCAGGACACAGATGGGTGTAAAATGGTTTCTGCTCAGAAGCAGCTCATATTGCCCAGTTGGGTAAGTCAGAAGAGGACACGGAAAGAATCGGGAATGGCTATGGGTAGCATAGAAACAGGGTTGAGATTTCTGGTGCTAGCCCAGCAAACTACACCCCAGAGTGTCAAAGGTGACAATTCTTCTCGGGGGAGGGGCAAAGGCTGTAGATTAAAAAGGGTTTCGCTGGTAAGAGTTAGGTATAGTAAGTTCCTGTACTTGTAAGCAGGAAGGATTTTATGTATTTTGTAGTCCCCCCCCCCTCGCCCCAGTATGTAGTAGAGGCCCTTTGCAGAGGTCCCACCTGTCTCAGGTAGGCCAGAAGGAGCAGTGCCCCGCCCCCTTCCAGGGCCCATTATGGTGGGGGCATCGAGAATCAGTGAGAATTCTCAAGATGGACATGACACTCAGGACAGAGTTGAGACCTCTTAGCCTCTCATCCCCGGAACTTTTGCCTACAGCAGGGGTTCCCAACCTTCCTGATGCCGTGACCCTTTACCACAGTTTCTCATGTTGTGGGGATCCCCAACCATAAAATTATTTTCGTTGCTACTTCATAACGTAATTTTGCGGCTGTTATGAATCGCCATCGGAAATATGTGTTTTCCCATGGTCTTAGGCGACCCCTGTGAAAGAGTCATTTAACAGCTGTTCTGTGTTTTGTGTTAATGAGGGGAACTTCTTTTGCTTCTCAAACTCTGCTCTTGGAACTGCCCACATCAGAAGTGGGGTGCTGAGTTAGAAGGGCAGGTTTCCAGGCTTCACCCCAGCTCCCTGAATGCTCACTCTGGGGAGGGACTGGAGAACTCTGCATTTGTGTGCACTGTTAGAGATTGAGAGCCTTGAGTTTTTTATTTAGCTTCAACAGATATGTACTACAAACCTAAGCATGCTGAGTACCTGAGGTATGGCATCAGCTAAACAGATACGGCCTCTTTTGTTCAAATGAAATCTGCATTTCATTTATTTACTTTTAGTACTCAGGTAAGAGGTTTATTAAAAAGCTCATGAGCGCCCTGGCTGGTTTGGCTCAGCGGTTAGAGCATCAACCTGTGGTCCAGAGAGACTCAGGTTCGGTTCCTGCTAAGGACACGTACCACAGCTGCAGTTTGTTCCCGGCCCTGGTTGGGTTGTGTGGGTGGCAGCCACTCGATGTGTCACTTTCATGTTGATGTTTCTCTCTCTCTCTCTCTCTCTCTCTCTCTCTCTCTCTCTCCCTCCCTCCCTCCCTCCCACTCTATCTGAACAAAAATGGAAAAATGTCCTCAGGTGAGGATAAAAAAAAAAGCTCATGTGCAAGAGGGAGTGTATCCCTCGTTGAAGGAAAGGACGAATAGACTGCTCTTTTTTTAAATTTACATTTCCATTCAGAGGATGTTAGGGGAGAGTTGGAGTAACCCCCCCCCCCCCATAGGTTCGGGGAGGACAGATTATATGGCATTTTGAAAGTCTGGCAGGGACTTACGATGCAGTAAGAAATAAAGAGTTCTGAGTTCATTTGGAGGCTGTGTGGGTTGGAAGGAATATGGACTTTGGAGTTAGCCCAACCTGACCATACCACACTGCAAGTGTGGCCTTAGGCAAGCCAGTTGATCTTTGAACCCCAGGTCTTTATTTGTAAATAAAGTTAAAAATAGTGCTCACCTCATAGGGTGATGAAACGAAATTATATGACATATGTAATTAAAGTGCTTGGCATATAGTAACTGCAAAATTAAAAACAACAGGTTTTGCCTGGCCGGTGTGGCTCAGTGGATTGAGCATCATCCCTTGGACTGAGAGGTCCCAGTCCAATTCCAGGTCAGGGCACGTGCCCAGGTTGCAAGCTTGATCCCCAGTAGGGGGCATGAAGAAGGCAACTGATCCATGTTTCTCTCACATCAATGTTTCTCTCTCTCTCTCTCTAAAAAAATAAAAACACTTTAAAAACAAAAGGTTTTTATCCCGTTCTGAAGTTGACGATGTTCATGAGTAGAAGGGTTGCTTGGCTAAGGTCTCACAGCTAGTAGGTGGTGGACAAGCAGCCTGGATTTGAACTCTGGTTCTTCTCCAAAGCCATCTCTGAACCCGAGCTTCGCTCCACTTCCCAGAGGAGAATGTCCTTGGTGGGCTGCTCTGAAGCCTTATGAGGACATGTTGGTCAGAGTGCTCAGCTCAGTGCCTGGCACGCTCTGAGTGCTCCTGGTGCTGTCCTGTCACAGCCCTGGACAGCTCCCAGGGTTTGAGGAACTGCTACTCCGTCCCTACTGAGCAAGCACAGGTTTCTCACCGGTTCCTGGAAAAACTTTGCCTCCTGGGTCTAGGTGGGCTGCCTGCCCGGTGTCCGCCCCTCACCACACTGGGTCTAGGTGGGCTGCCTGCCCGGTGTCCGCCCCTCGCCACACTGGGTCTAGGTGGGCTGCCTGCCCGGTGTCCGCCCCTCGCCACACTGGGTCTAGGTGGGCTGCCTGCCCGGTGTCCGCCCCTCGCCACACTGGGTCTAGGTGGGCTGCCTGCCCGGTGTCCGCCCCTCGCCACACTGGGTCTAGGTGGGCTGCCTGCCCGGTGTCCGCCCCTCGCCACACTGGGTCTAGGTGGGCTGCCTGCCCGGTGTCTGCCCCTCGCCACACTGGGGTAACCCTGCAGCTGTGCCTTGCCTCCTCCTCCCCTAGGGCGAAGGCCATGCCGCCCCCTGGGAAAGTTCCCCGGAAGGAGAACCTGGGGCTGCAGTGTGAGTGGGGGTCCTGCTCCTTTGTGTGCTCGGCCATGGAGGAGTTCTGCGAGCACGTCACAGAGCACCTGCAGAAGCACCTGCGCAGCTCGGGGGAGGACGACGAGGAGGACGAGGACGAGGACCTGCTGGGTAAGGGAGAAGGCTAGAAGGAGGAAGCTCAAGGGGAGGCAGCCTGGGAGAGTGGTGGTGTAACTTCCTCTTTCTGATAGTGTTGTTTATAGAAACATTGTAGCCTCCTTGTTTTCAAAACCAATCTGCCGTCTTCCCATCAAAAGGCAATTATTGACACTGCTTTTGTGAGCATTCTTCTTGATCTCCCTCTACATGTCTATACATAATTTATATAACTGTGATTTTATTTTATTATTTTTTAAAAATATGTGTTATTGATTTTTAGAGGAAGGGAGGGGGAGAGAGAGAAACATCAATGAAAGAGAAACATTGATTGGCTGCCTCCTGCACACTCCCCATCAGGCACTGAGCCCCAAGCCCCAATCCCTGAGCCCACAACCTGGGCATGTGCCCTGAGGGGGAATCGAACTAGTGACCTCTTGGTCCATGGGTCGACGCTCAACCACTGAGCCACACTGGCTGGGCTTATTTTAATTTTTTATATTTCAAACAACCGGACACAAAAGTTCTTAGTTTATTAATCCTCTTATGGCCCTGGCCAGTTTGGCTCAGTGGTTGGAGTGTTGGCCTGTGGACAAAGAGTTGTGGGTTCGACACCGGTCAAGGCCACGTACCTCAGTTTCGGTTCATCCCCAGCCCTGGTCAGGGTCGTGCGGGAGGCAACCAGTCCATGTGTCCCTCTCACATCGATGTTTCTCTCTCCCTCCCTCCCACTCCATCTGAAGATAAATAGAAAACTATCCTCGGGTGAAGATGAAAAAGAAATTAATTCTCTCATGAAAAGTTTGCACGGTCACCCAGATAGTCACTGAGGAATCTTGACTCCTGCCGACCCGCCTCCAGCTCACTTTCCAGTGCGGGCCTTTGCCGTCCCCCCGGCTCGTCGTTCTGTCCCTGCGTTTCTGCCACTGTTTTTTTATCTTCACCTGAGGACATTTTCCACTTTTTGTTCAGATAGAGTGGGAGGGAGGGAGGGGGAGAGAGAGAGAGAGAGAGAGAGAGAGAGAGGAGAAACATCGACGTGAAAGGGACACATCGAGTGGCTGCCACCTGCATGACCAACCAGGGCCGGGGACAAACTGCAACCGCGGTATGTGCCCTTAGCGGGAACCGAACCCGGGTCTCTGGACTGCAGGCCAGTGCTCCAACCATAGAGCCAAACCGGCCAGGGCCGTCACTGTTTTTTAAAGTCATCTTTTCACATTGGCCATGGCTTGCTAACCTGTTTGGGCTCATTTCTGTGCGTTATCCAAGGAATCATGAATCATGACAAAGCCAGGTGTCTTGTCACCACCAAACTGGGTTCTGACTCTAAACACAAAGATGACACCTGGTGTGGTCGTGCACATTTTGGCTGGTTCCCCCTGAATTTCTGTGTTAGGCACTGTTGTGCCCCCAGGGTGAAGGCATCAGTGACCATTTGTTTCCCCGGAGTGGTCAGTTCATCGGAGCTGCTTAGCTGCTGCGGCGCCCACGGTGGCGGCTGGTCTTCAAGCCCGCCCCCTTCCGTGCCGTGCAGGCTGTCGTAGACGGCCCTGGTGGCCCCTGGCCGTGTCTCTCGCGAGACCGAGACCGCCGGCTGGAGCAATCTCACAGCACCGCCTGTGCTCCGTGCCCCCTGAAGTGCTCGCCGTGCTGTCCATCAAAGGGGAGGGCGTGGCCTGGCCGGGGTGGCTGTCAGTGAGCACTGCCCTATGCACCACAAGGTTGTGGGTTTGATCCCCGGTCAGGGCACATACCCAGGTTGTGGGTTCGATCCCCGGTTGGGGCATGTATGGAAGGCAACTAAATGATGTTTCTCTCCCTCCCACCCTTGTCCCTCTCCATGTATGACATGGGTGAGGATTAAAAAGAAAAAAAGAAAATGTGGTTTGCAATCCCCTAAATTGATTTCACCACCTTCTAATCTAATAGATCACAATGGAGGTTGCAAAACTGGTATATAGAAAGTACAGAGACAACTCTCTTCAAATTCTGTTTGAAGCATAGTGACTGAACTATGTAACTGATGGTTTTAAAAGTCAAATGATATTTACACAAAAGGGAAATTAGGGTGTTATTATATTGTTAAAAATATCTACTTTTCGCCCAGCTGGTGTGGCTCAGTTGGTCGAGCGTTGACGCTGCACCAGGAGGTCACAGGTTCTGTCCCCGGCAGGGCACATGCCCAGGTTGTGGCCTTGATCCCCAGTGGGGAGTGTGTAGGAGGCAGCAAATCGGTGTTTCTGTCTTTCTCTTCCTCTTGCTTCCTCTCTCTGAGATCAATAAAAACATATTTTTAAAAAATCTACTTTTCAAAACAAGTAAACCCATAAAAAGCATTGAAAATACGGTTCTTAGGGAGAGATGCGAGAGAGAGGAAGTGGGTTGGGATAGTCGATGGGCCCTCCTGGAGAAGAAAGATCTAGAGCAGAACGTGGGGGAAGGAGGCCTTGTAGTTGGCGGAAGCAGTGGGGTGCGCCTGGTTGGGAGGCAGGGACTCTGCCAGGGTGGTGCCTGCCACGCCCACCGTCTGGTCCCGGGCGCTGGGCTTGCCCACAGCGTGCCCTCTGCCTGGACCACACTTCCCCACCTGGTGGTAGACACTCGCCCTTCATGTCTCAGCCCAGGGACACTTCCAGGACACCCGTCCGCAGGCCTTCACCGTCATGGTTCTCACACCTGGTACGGCTTCATATCTATACATGCGGTTGTTTGGTTAATGTCTTTTCTCCCCGGCTGAAAGCTCTGTAAGGACAAAGACAAGGGCTCTACTCCGCACGTCCCGGCGTTTGGCACGGTCCGTGGGGCTTGGATACTGTTGTCCGGTAGATAAACTCCTGGCAGCTGGGTCAGAGTCAGCCCCCTGCCTCGCTGCCGGTGCACAGGGAGGAGAGCGAGGCTGGAAGCCATCGTCTTCTCTCTGACCCTCTCCGCAGAGGAGGAGTTCTCCTGCTTGTGGCAGGAGTGCGGCTTCTGCTGCCTGGACAGCCCTGCGGACCTGGCCCGCCACGTGTACTTCCACTGCTACCACACCAAGCTGAAGCAGTGGGGGCTGCAGGCGCTGCAGAGCCAGGCCGACCTCAGCCCTTGCATCCTGGACTTCCACAGCCGCAACATCATCCCCGACATCCCGGACCACTTCCTGTGTCTGTGGGAGCACTGCGAGGTCAGTGGGCAGTTGCGGCTCTTCCCTCCAGGTGCTCGGCCCTTTCCGCGGTCCCCTGTGCTCCTGCGGTTTCTGGTAGCATCTCCTTCATGGCTGGGTGGCTCCCGTGCTCAGATGTTCCTGTCCCGACCCAGTTAGTTCGGGAGAGGGCCGAGAAGCCCCGTGGACACAGGGTGAGCGTCCCTCTGCCCACGCTCAGTCCTCACCCGAGCTGTCCTGCGCAGAGCTCCTTCGACAACCCCGAGTGGTTCTACCGGCACGTGGAGGCGCACAGCCTGTGCTGTGAGTACAGAGCGGCGGGCAGGGACAGCCACGTGGTGCTGTGCGGCTGGAAAGGTAGGCCGCGCTCCCTCTGCCTCTGCGGAGACCCGGGCTTGCTGAGGGGCTGGCGCAGCAGGACGGGTCCTGCGGGCGGGCTGGCTGCTGTCTGCAGACTTGGGGGAGCGGAGCGGCTCTGGGTCTGTGGCTGGAGCAGGACCGGCCTTGCTTCCCAGGCTGTACCTGCACCTTCAAGGACCACTGCAAGCTTCGCGAGCACCTGCGGAGCCACACCCAGGAGAAGGTGGTGGCCTGCCCCACCTGCGGGGGCATGTTTGCCAACAACACCAAGTTCTTAGACCACATCCGCCGTCAGACCTCACTGGACCGTAAGTAGTCAGAGGGAGTGGGTGCAGGCCGTTCTGCTCGTGGGGGTTGGGGCACATTCCCAGGGAGGGCCCTGCAGGCGTCTGCAGCCTGGTACATTTCCCTTCAAGGCCCAGTCACCTGCCCGTGCCTGCTGGCTCAGGTTTGCCGGCATTGCTGTGCAGGGTGCACGGTGCCCGCTGTCGCCACAGGGCGTCCCCACAGCAGCCGGGAGGCAGGCTCTTGTCCCTTCTGCAGCTGGGAAGCTAAGGCTCAGAGGGCTTAAGGCATTAGGAGACCACACGGCTAGGGAGTGTTCCCGCCGGGACGGAGTCAGGTTCCCAGCGCGAGTCCCACGCTCTCCCCGTGACACCGCCCGTCCCTGTCCCCTCGGGCGGCTCCCTCCTGCCTGGGGCTGCCCCCCACATCCCCCCCCCCCCCCCGTGTCCCCCCAGAGCAGCGCTTCCAGTGCTCTCACTGCTCCAAGCGCTTCGCCACCGAGAGGCTGCTGCGGGACCACATGCGCAACCATGGTGAGTAGCGCCCGCCCCCCGCGGCCTCGGGGTTGCAGGCCCTCGGGTCACAGCCTCCTCTGCTCTCAGTGAATCACTACAAGTGCCCCCTGTGTGACATGACCTGTCCGCTGCCGTCCTCCCTCCGCAACCACATGCGCTTCCGCCACAGCGAGGACCGGCCCTTTAAATGTGACTGCTGTGACTACAGGTAAGGGGCCCGGGGCCAGAGGTCTCAGGCTCGTGTTCTAGAGCCCGGTGCCCTCCAACCCCTCCTGACCTCTCCCGGCAGCTGCAAGAACCTGATCGACCTCCGGAAGCACCTGGACACTCACAGCAAGGAGCCGGCCTACAGGTGTGATTTCGAGAACTGCAGCTTCAGTGCCCGGGCCCACTGCTCCCTCAAGTCCCATTACCGAAAAGTGCACGAAGTGAGTGGCTCCGGTGGGCAGGGCTGGCGGCAGGGGGCGCCCGGGCTGAAGGTGACCACTGCCTCCCTCCCGATCAGGGGTACTCGGAGCCGAGGTACAAGTGTCATGTGTGTGACAAGTGCTTCACCAGGGGCAACAACCTCACCGTGCACCTTCGCAAGAAGCACCAGTTCAAGTGGCCCTCGGGGCACCCCCGATTCCGGTACGGCTCGCCCCGTCGCCTGTCCGTTTTCAGCCTGGACGTTGTCGGGAGTGAAGTGCTTGGTGTCCCCGTCTCCAGTTCCGCTCGAGGGACCCTGACTTTCTGGTCCAAGGCACCGCTTCAGACCCAGTCAGTGGTGCCTAGAGTCCTGCAGCCCAAACGGGGAGAGCCTCCCGCACCCCGCCCTCCACAAGTAGCGTTCCTCTCCCCTTCCTCGCCTCACCCTCTGGTCTCGACATGGAGATTCCAGTATGAGTGATGGGCCTTCTCTTGTCTTTACATTTGGATCAGGATGTTTGTCTTCGGCTCCCATCACGTAGCCTCCGGGCTTCCTCCCCCTTGTGTGTGTCCCCTGCCTGTCGGCCCTGGCATTTCGTAGCCCCTGCCCACGTGTGCTGCCTCTGTGTCCCCCGCACAGGTACAAGGAGCACGAAGACGGCTACATGCGGCTGCAGCTGGTCCGCTACGAGAGTGTGGAGCTGACCCAGCAGCTGCTGCGGCAGCCGCAGGAAGGAGCGGGCCTGGGGGCGTCCCTGAGCGACAGCGGCCTGCAGAGCATCATCCTGGAGACGGTGCCCGGGGCGGCGGGGCCCCAGGGAGAGGCGGCAGAGCAGGGCACAGCGGATCCGGGCACAGCCCTCTCGGCCCCGCAGGACTCCTCCCGGCCCCTCGTCCATGTGGTGGATCAGGACAGTGCCCAGGAGATCGTCTACTATGTGCTGTCGGAAGCCCCGGGGGCGTCCCCCCCAGCCCCCGAGTCCCCCGCGGGGAGCCTCATGGAAAAGCTTCCGGGAGCAGCTGAGGAGCCAGGAGTCCAGATGGCGTGAAGGCGCGGAGCAGGACCATTCCTGAGCCGGGCGCGGCGGAGCCAGGCGGCACTGCCCCTTGGGGCGGCCCTTGCCAATGGGTGCCTTTGGAGTGGCGCCGGGAGCAGCCGTCCACTCTGGATCTGGCCTGCGTCGGCAGGCTCGGCGGACTTTCTTGCTGCCAGACCTCGCTCTTGTGGGGATCCTGAGCGGTTGGGGATCCTGAGGAGGGCGGCCTGGCGGTGCATGCTCCTGTAGACAGTGGCTGTCCGGCCCAGCCGGCCCTCCGCGGCTGGAGCAGTGATTCAGGTCCTCGGGCCGCAGTGGCCCCGTCGCCACCGCCTCCCTGCAGGGGTCTGCAGCCCCAGGACTCCCTGCTGTCCCCCCAGGGCGGCGCTGAGTGTGTAGCGTTTGGTTTTGGTAATAAATGCTGCTGTTCCTTCTCTTATGTTTGGAGCTGGTTAACTGGGTCGTGAGACACAGCCACCCAGAAGGGAAGCAGAGTAATTAGGCTCTTCCCCTTTCGGTGGCCGGGTTCATTTCTGTTTCTAACTGTCTTGTTCCCAGCTCGCCTCCCACCCCTGGGGTGAGACCCTCCATCTCCCAGGAAGTCAGGCTGAGGCCCGGAGTGTGTAATGGCAGCGCTCGGACCGCTGAGGGCTGAGCAGGAAGGCGCAGCCCGGACCTGCCCACCGCCAGCTCGGTCACAGCCCGCGGGGCGGGGCCTGGGAAGAAGCTGGCAGTGCGGGTGTGTCTGGGCCCAGGGACTGGGAGGGACTTCAGTCAGGAACTGAGGTAGAGCCCATGTTCCTGGGGAGAGGGTCTGGCTTTCATTACATTCTCGGAGGTGAGACCTTCCAGAAAAAGAATTGGGCCTGTCCAGCCACTTCACAGTACCTGTGTCCGTTCTTGGGGTTCCTGCTGCTCTGGAGGGGTCAGGAAAATGTTCCCCACTAGGGCTTCTGGGCCTTTAAAAAGACCCAACTTAATTCCTGTTAGCAAAACTGTGCCGCCCGGCTGGCGTGGCTCAGTGGTTGAGCGTCGACCCTGCACCAAGAGGTCGCCAGTTCGATTCCCCATCAGGACACATGGCCAGGTTGTGGGCCCGATCCCCAGTGGGGGGTATGCAGGAGGCGGCCAGTCCATGTTCTCATCAATGTTTCCATCTCTCTAAAATCAATTAAAAAGGGGAAAAAAACCACAACTGCCTATTTGCAGCAAGACATAGGGAAGAAAATTCTCTTCATTAATCCCATCAGCCACTCCCTGAGTCCCTCCTATGGTCCAGGCTGTGAGGGATGCGAAGGTGAGGAGAACCCAGAACCTGCCCTGGAGGGACTTGAAGCAGAGGTGAGGAAGGTCAGAGTGAGGTTCATTCACAGGGCTCAGTGTAGGCGGAGAGTGTTTGGGCAAGGGGTCAGGAAAGGCTTCATCAAAGTGATGAGACTCCCATGACAAGGAGGTGGACAGGTTGTTCCGGGAGGGAGGAGCTAGGTCTGTAGACGAAGCTGAAGGGGTACTTCATGGTCTGTAGTGGAAAGGGCCACAGGCGGCCGAGAACAGGGCCCGGAAGGAGGGCAAGACCGCCCAGAAGGGCCGGGCAGCGTTTCAGAGGCGACCATGAGGTGACAGCTGTAAAGCCATAGCGGTGTTGATCTCCACTCAACACGAGCCCCCTGAAATGGCCACGGGCGAGAGAGGGATCGCAGGAATGGACATTGTCCACGACAAGCCCTGCCAGGGAGCTCAGTGGGTTCGAGCGTCGTCCGGACACACCAAGTTATGGGTTCCATCCCCAGTCGGGGCCCATACAAGGGTCAACCCATGAACAAGTGGAACAGCAAATCAGTGTTTTCTCCTTTTCCCTAGATCCAATACCTTTTTCACAAAGCCGCTCCCTTCCCGGCTTTCAGGTCCTGTACTGTTCGCCTCCACACCCCGTCCCTCCACCGAAGGAGCGACCCCTGTCCCCACCGGGACGCTGAGGCTGCTTTGGGCTGAGAGGACCCCCGTTTCCTCTGTGCCTCTTCACACCATCTGATTTGGAGTTCCCTCCCCGCGCCCACCTCGGCCTGTGGTTCCGATCGCCCCTGGCCCTCGGTGTATGGTGACGCGCGGTCCTCTGGAGCTCCTGTTCCTGTGTCTGCATGTTCTGCTGCTGCCCAGTCCACGCGCCCCCACCTTGTATGGACGCAGTGGTCGCTTTGGGGCAAACGCAGGCGCCCATGTGTCCCTATGACAGTTGTCTTGTTCGACCTGATTAACAACTGTCTCCGAGTGTTAGGCCAAGAGTTGAACAGAACGGTGCCAGAGAGACCCCAGAGGCTCGACATCACGGACTCCTCACCAAGACCGGGCGAAGATTTTTTTTTTTTTTTTTTTTTTTATCCTCACCCGAGGACATTTTTCCATTTTTTGTACAGACAGAGTGGGAGGGAGAGAGAGGAAGAGAGAGAGAGGGAAACATCGATGTGAAAGGGACACATCGAGTGGCTGCCACCCGCACGACCAACCAGGGCCGGGGACAAACTGCAACCAGGTACGTGCCCTTAGCGGGAACCGAACCCGGGTCTCTCTGGACCACAGGCAGACGCTCTAACCGCTGAGCCAAACCGGCCAGGGCCCGGGCGAAGATTTTAAAGGCTCTGAACCCTAAAAAGATGAATTCCCCCTTCTCCACGTATAATTCAAAAGTGGAAATATGAAACATACAAGGGAGTCAGGATTATACTTTCAAAAACACGTATGTGTGTGTATATGTATATATATGTATGTATGTGTGTATGTGTGTGTATATATAAAAATTATATATAAATTAAGACCATACATATATATATGTATGGTCTTAATTTTTTTGCTTTCGGTTTCGTCGCCTTTGTCTTGTACGTTCTAAGCATTGGCTTGGGCTGCCCCTTGGACAGTCCAGCATCACTGACGCCATCCGTTCCTTGGTTGAGAAATGCCTTCAGGATTAAGCCATCATCCTATGGAGAGGCCCTTCCTCCAGTCGGCTTGGTCATGCCCGCACCTCATCTATCTGGACCACGAGACTCTGGCCTGCTCCCATGTGGTCCCAGTTCCCCAGGAGGAGGGCGACCGGGCTCTGCATGCATGGCCCTGGGCCAGGAGTGAGGCATCACTGCGTCCGAGTAGCCAGCCACAGACCTGTGGAAGGACATCAAGGCAGCGGGGGTGGGGGGATGGGGTGGGGGTGGGGGGCGGACGGACTCGTGGAGGGAGGAGGGTAACAACAACAATTTGGGAGCCGGGCCATGAGTCAGAGCTGACATCTAAAGATTAGGAGACGCCCTGTCTTACTCAAAGGAGCGGGAGGAGAGAGAACACAGGTGGCTCCTGAATGTGGAAGCTAATGCTTCCTTTTTTGTGTGTTAATCCTCACCATTGATTTTTAGAGCAAGTGGAAGGGAGGGAGGGGAGAGAGAGAAACATCGATGTGAGAGAGACACATTAGTTGCCTTCTGCTCGTACCCTGACCGCGGCCGGGATTGAACCTGCAACCCAGGTAGGTGCCCTTGACCAGGAATCAAACCTGTGACCCTTGGTGCACGGGCTGATGCTCTAACCACCGAGCAACAGGGGCCCAGGCAAAGCTAACGCTGCTTTTCTCTGACTTGGGGACAGTCTGCAACCTCAGAAGGGCACAGAATTGCCGAGTGGTCAGAAAACAGACATGAGTCTTCAACGTGAGACGCGGAAGGGGCGTGGGGGATAAAACCACGACGGAGTGAACACAGGCACCCAGTGGACGGGGACTGAATGAACGATGACGGTTGCGCAAGGTCGGAAGCCCGCGGAGTGCTTCGGGAACGAGCGTACCCCGCCATCTACAGCAGCAGGGAGGCCCGGGGAGGCGGTGAAAACCACAGCGTGCTGCGTAGCTTGAGCTTTTTGACTGGCCAAGGAGTGTGGAGGACAAATAGGCACAGGAAACGTGGGAAAGAACGGAGACACCCCTTTTGGAGAGGGAAGGAGGATGGATGGGAGTGAATGAGGACTTCATTTGGGGGGTGTGAGGGAAGGGTGAGGCCTGAGGGCCCCTATTTCCTTGATAAAGTAGAAATTAAGGTTATTGAGGTGGAATTTACTGGGTTAAGGAGATTTCTAAGAATTGTCAAGTTTTGCCCTGGCCGGGTAGCTCCGTTGGTTAGAGTGTTGTCCCCATGCACCAAAGTTGCAGGTTTGATCCCTGTCAGGGCACAGAGGAGAATCAGCCAATGAATGCGTCAGTAAGTGGAACAACAAATCCATGTTTCTCTCCCTCGCTTCCTCTCTCTAAACTCAGTCAAAACAAGCTCACGTTTTCAAAGTGCCATTCATAGATGCAGGCGGGAGACAGGTCACCGGACAGCCCAGCTGAGGTTGAAGTCAACATCAGACACTTCGTAGCAGATATCAGCACCCCTGGAGCAGAGGCAGAAGACGGACCACTGGGTTGACCCACAGCCCTGGCCTGACAGCCAGGACGTGGATGACTTAGGCCACGGAGCAGGGTAACTGGAGCAGCTGCAGAAGGCACGAGGTCCAGGCTGGACAAGAGGCCTTGCGAGACTGGAAGGTGGTAGCTAGACACTGAAGGCCCCAGGGAGACGTCGGAGGACTGCGGGGCAGAGGGAAAGGTTGTAGTCAGAAAGGGGACATTTTAAAATGGAGTCCAGAACCCGGCCGCTGTGGCTCAGTGGCTGAGCATCGACCCTGCACCAAGAGGTTGCCGGTTCGATTCCCAGTCAGGGCACATGCCCAGGTTGTGGGCCTGATCCCCAGTGAGGGGCATGCAGGAGGAGGCCAGTTGATGTTCTCTCTCACATCGGTTTCTCGCTCTCTCTCCCTCCCTTTCTCTCTCTCACTCTATCTGAAGATAAATGCAAAAATGTGCTCGGGTGAGGATAAAAAAATAAAATCAATCAATCAATAAAATAAATCAGTAAAGGAAAAGAAAAGAAAACAGTGCCCTGGCCAGTTTGGCTCTGCGGTAGTGTGGTTCCGCCGATGGGCACGTACCTCAGTTGTGGTTCGTCCCCGGCCCTGTTCCGGGTTGTGCAGCAGGCAGCCAATGATGTGTCCCTCTCACACTGATGTTTCTCTCTCTCCCTCCCCCCTCTCTCCCTCCTGCTCTATCTGAAGATAAATGGAAAAATACCCTCAGGTGAGGATTTAAAGAAAACAGCATTCACCCTGGTCGGTTGTCATCCCAGGAACCAAGGGGTCGCCAGTTTGATCCCTGGTAGGGGACGTCTCTAAAAATCAATAAAAAATCCGTTTTAAAAAAATAAAAAAGAAAATAGCACTATATAGATAAATATTGCACTTTTATT